GGGTTTTTGGATTTTTTTTTAATGTTTGTTCATTTTGTTGAGATAGGGTCTCATGTAGCTCAGACTAGCGTCAAACTCCCTACGTGGCTGAGGATGACCTTGAACTCCTGATCCTCCTACCTCTCTTTCTCCTGGTGCTGAGGTTACAGGTACACACCACCATACTCTGTTTATCCCGTGCTGGGGATTGAACCTAGGACCTCAGGCATGCTAGGTGAGCATCTGACCCACATCTGTGGCTGTGCAGAGGCTTTCCAGAGAGAAAAGACATCGGACTGTAGAAAGCCAGGGCCTGGGACACCAGGAGCTGACAAAGTCTCCAAAGAGAGACAGCGGGGTCCGGGTCAGGGTGGCGGTGATGGTGAAGGGGAGGCCTGTGACCAAGAGAAACTGGGAGGCGGGGAAGGTGAGCTGGAGGCTGACGGCTTCGAGTCCGAGACCGAGAAAAGGGGAGACTGAAGATGCGGGCAAAGGGTCCCTTCAGCGCCCATTTCTAGAGATGTGGAGACCATGCATGGTCTGAACAGAGCAGAGTGATCTGAGGTCACTGAGCTGGCCACCTGCAGGGAGGCACTCTGGAACCTAAGCCCCTGAGGGCAGCATCCTCGTGCCTGCTCAGCTGGTGCCCAAGCCTGACCCAGCCCCGGCAAAGGTATCATTTAGCACTGTTCATACGGTCGCATGGGCCTCAGGTGTCCCTCAGCAGAGAGCTGGGCCTGGGCTTTGGCTCTGTGCGAACAGGGTTGGCAGAGTCATGTGGCGGCTTGTGGCTCTCACCCCTTCCTGCCATTGCAACCCCTGGCCCCAGGGGCCCCTGCACTCAGGGAATTGGTGGGTACGCAGCTTTCTCATGACACGGAGAGTCAGAGCGTCTGGGGCCACTCCCCAGGCACCAGCAAGCCTGCCCTGGTGGCAGTGGTACAGAAAGAGGTTGGAGGCTATCTGGAGGACCCCAACAAGAGTGGAGAGCACTCACCCACTGTCTGGAACTCTGGGTTCTAGGGTAGCATCAGAAATAACAAGTTCCCTCTTGATGTCTGTCAAATGAATGAGTGGGCGAATGAATGAATGAATGAATGAATGAATGAATGAATGAATACTCTGGGGCTTGGCTCAGCTTCCTGTGATTTCTCCCATGTCACCTTGGGTAAGTCATCGCTCCCTTCAAGCTGGAAAATGAGCCCAGAGGCCATGACCCTCGGATGGCGACAGAGAATCTTTCAGAGCAAAGGTAGCGTAGCGGAAGCAGCTGGGACTGTCCCTTCAGTTCCTTGGAGTCCTGGAAGGGGAGGTGGCAAGAGGAACGGGAAGGGGTCTGGAGCTAGGGGCTCTACAGATGCCCCTCCTTGCAGGCTGCCCTGGGGAAGCACAGCGGGGTAGGGAGGTGTGATCCTGGGGCTGGAAGAGCCACAGCTGGGGTTGGCAGTCCCCAGGCAGCCTCAGGATCCCTCAGATTTGTCCCAAGACCTGGACTGGCAGTCCTATGTTGCCAGGGCTCCCCCGGCCCAGGTGCCTAACCTCACAGACATCCAGGGACCTCCCCAAACAGACTTAACCCTATCCTTACCCAGAGTCCACACCATGCTGCATTGTTTCGGGGGGGGGGGTTGTTCTCAGGGAACAGCAACTGTGGTCAGCCTAGGCAGGCTGTGTCCCTGGGCCACAGTAGCCACCCAGCTCTGTCACCTCACCTCTGACCACTCCTCTCATTTGAGCAGCCTGCCTGACCCCTGAAAGTTGTCTTGGGTGAGAATTCTGATCTAGTCCCACACATGGGGAGCTGGAGCCCTAGAGGGGGCAGGAATCATAGTCTCTGAACTCAGCCGCACCCTGGGACTTACTAAGAGTATGTGTGTGTATATGTGTGTATGTGTATATGTGTGTGTATGTATATGTGTGTATATGTATGTGTGTGTATATATGTGTGTGTATGTGTATAGTGTTTATGTGCATATGTGTGTATGTGTAAGTGTCCGTGGTATTGCTTTTCTGTCTTTTTCCCAGGTCATTTGTATAGCCCAGCCTCCCTCGAACATCCCCCTCATATAATGCTCCCCACCCCTTTTGTTCCTCATCCTCCTTGCTCACTGCCTGGCTGTCACTGTGTGTACAGCTCCCATGCTGTCTGAGCCCCACGAGGACAGGGTCTTGTCGGTGGGCTCCCTGTTGCATCCCGGCACAAAGAAAAATGATCAGCTTCCACAAAGCTAGTTAAGCGGTGGGACACGGTTGTCAGAGCCCAGCCCTAGACACCTGCCCAGCTGCCGTATCCCCGGCTTGTGCGTGGGTCATGCTGGAAGAATCTCTCAGTCCCACAGTCCCAGGACAGCTGTCCCCAGCATAGCGTTGTCTTTTCAGCTGCCCCAGCCAGGGCAGGAACTGTGAGCTGAATATTTCACCGGTGGAGGAAGTGGTGAAGTCACCCAGCTCCCACCCCCGCTGCTCCCAGGTCTGACCCATCAAACTTGGAGTCTCAAGTTCAAAGAGACCACAGCCTGGACGTGTAGGATGTGACTTTGTGGGTTGTGGGTAGGGCAGGGGCCTGGGCAGGTCATGGTGTCTCCCAGGAAATGGTCTCAGGTAGAAGAAAAGGAAGGGAGGTAAGGAGGGTTCAGAGTCCCCAGAGGGGGCTGGAGAGGAGGTACGTGGGCTTCCTCCAACGAGAGAATAAAGACAGCCCATGCTATTTTCTAAAACAGCGTAAATGACTGTTCAAATTGTTCGCAAAGCCTGTGTGAGCAACATGGGAAAGTACACAGAAGGAGCCAAGGACCTAAAGCTCCCCTGGCAGGGACCTGTGGTTGCTCAGGAGCCCGGGTAGAGGCGAGGGGGTCCGTGTGCAGAAACCGGCCTTGGAAGTGTGTCTTAGCTCTGGCCTCGGTTCCTATCCCTGTAAAATAGAGGTGTATCCTGCGATACCCCCGCCCATTCCTCCACAGCCCTCTTTGTCTCCCTTCTTTCCCCTCAAGCCTGAGAGTGACCCCTTGGAGAAGCCAGGTCCTACTGGCCCCTTCTCTTCCCACACTGGCTAAGAGCACACCCAGGCCATGGGTCTTCAGGCTTGATAGGAACTTGTCACCTGGAATTGTTGGGAATGTTGGAGGAGCGAATATGTAGAAGAGTCTTCCAAACTGCCTGGCGCAGGGTGAGGTTGGGTCTGTGATGACAAGTATGGCAGACCTCATTGCCATCAGCACTGCCATTGTCCTTGTCATGACATTACCATGGTCTTCTTACGGATGGCTTCTTATAATCAGCTTCCTCCTCCCGTGTCTCTTCTCTTCCATCCATTTGTCTATCCATCGCCCATCTGTCCACTCATTCCTTTGTTCATCTATCCACCAGTCTATCCATCAATCCCTCCTTTCATCCATCCAGACTTCCTCAATGAAAGCCTGTGTAACTTTGGGGGAGCTCACTTGACATTCCTTACTCTGTTTCATGGGTAATGGGTATGTTTCTACCGCTAGATAGTTTTAGACAAAATGACTGGGGTTCTTCTGGTTTGGGGAAAAAGTGGTGGAGAGACCACTTCTGAAGAGCTGCTTTTCTGGATTCTGTATCTGGGGAGAAAACTGAGGCTTAGCCTTGATGTCTATAGGTAAAATGAAGTTTTTTTTTTTTCAAGACAGGTTTTTCTGTGTAGCCCTGGCAGTCCTGGAACTCACTCTCTAGATCAGGTTGGCCTCAAATTCAGATATTTGCCTGCCTCTGCCTCCTAAGTGCTGGGATTAGAGGCATATGCCACCACCACCCAGCTAAACAGATCCCAAGTACCACGTAAAACTGCTGCAGTGAATGCCTGGCAATGGCAGCAGGAGGATCAGGAGTTCAAGGTCACCCTGAGCTGTGTAGTGGGTTTGAGGCTGGCCTTCCAGCAAGAAAGGAGAGAAGAAAAAGAAAGTCAAATTAGAAAGCCATTTCAATTGTCTCTGTGTCTGTGCTTGTGACTGTCTCTCATACACACAGTTACACATACATGATCAGAAGAACATACGTGAAAATTAGCGAACGCATTCCGTGTAACTTTTATCTTCTTGACGTTTCCCCACAGGTCGTCTTCAACTTTAAGGCAGTAAATTTCCTTGAATAAGAAAACAATATTGGGGATGGTGCATCAGCAGGTTTGTGTAGACCATAGTCACGTGACACCACCCCTGGTCCTCGCTTTGCTTATGGGAAGGCTGGGAAAGATCCTGAGAAAACCTCCATCCTCCACAGTCACATGGGGACAATTCAGACCCTCCTCACGGGGCCACTGTGGGAACGAAGTCATGGAAGTGAAGCTAGGGGTGGTGGCTAACACTTTGACGCCCTGGTCAAGTCCCCACCCCTGTGGCTGGTCAAGGGTGCTCGCCATTGACTTGTGCCCCCTGATTTATGGGCACCAGGGCATCGCCTCAGATGGTGTGTAGGTCAGGTGGAACTGGGGGCAGGCATCTCTGCCACCCACTAGCAATGTTCTAGAGACCCGAGCGGCCACCAGCATGTCTTTTAGCCCAGGATAACTCTCTCCCACTGCCCTGACCTCTCACCCCATAGGTTTCCCTGTGACAGCGGCTGTTAGACACACAGGCTAAACAAAGTCATGTAGAGCTTACTCAAGTGACCCTGTCCCCTCAGTGGCTCTGAGTGCCATGGCTGGGATTTGAACCATGCAACACTCATCCACTGAGCTGACCCTGAAGACTGGCTTGCCACACGTAGGAGACAGGATCTACAGATTGCTGGTGCCTCGCATGGAGCCCTCAGAAGGCTAGCACAGTGTGGGTTCAGGCACGAGAGCCTAAGAATGAGATGACTAGACCCCCTGAATTTCCTGGTGGCAGCTGAACCCGGCTGTTCCCAGGGCCCCTTCCCACCCCACAGAGAGCTTCAGACACCTCCCTCCCAGCCTCCTAGATTGACAGCCCATGACTTAGGTGACTGGGCGTGGTGCCAGGAGGTGGGGACCAGGCTCAGGCAGGCTCCCCAGGTTGCAGGGTGAAATTAAAAGGGAGGAGAGAGAGCACCAGCCCACTAGAACGCACGCTCCTGCCCGGCAGCCAGGTGTCCCCAAGAAGAGCTGGGGAGCCGGGGAGGCAGCCAGGGCTTGTGGCTGCTGGGCACCTGAGCTAGCCCAAACAGAAGGCTGGGAGCTGGTCACAGGATGGCCCCACAGAGAGCTGTGCAGCTATCTCTGAAGAAGCCCACTCACGCCGTGTGTGTGGTAGGCGTGGAGACGCCGGTGAATGTCTACAGGTAAGAGCTGGGTCCCTCTCCTGTGCTTTGGTGGGAGATCCCCAGGCCAAAGAATATGCAGGAGGGTGTAGGCAGAATGATGTTTCGACACCAGAGAAGGTGGAGCCAGCTCCAGAGCTTGGGAGGGAAGGGAACAGGGTCTACCCAGGTGCTCTGGGGTCGGAACACTGGGTCCAGTCCCTGGACGAGGGTAGCCTCAGAAGATTACTCTGCGTCTTGGGACCAAGCTCTGTCTGGGTTCTACGTGCCAGCCTTCAAGTGGAGTTTCCGAAGGAGCTGGGGCTCTAAGCCAGGGAAGAGGGTTGGGTCCCCCTCCCTCCCTCCATGTCTTGCAAATTTTCCACCTCTCTGTGGTTAGGGGTGTGCATGTGACATCTTGACCCTTGGAGGCCAGCCAGGGACAACCAGAGTAACTAGGATTAAGAGGGAGTGGCCAAGGGATAACTCAATGACTTAATTTAAGAAATGATCCTGGATCACTGCCTGGGACTCGGGCTGGCAAGAGATGACGGTGGTGACGACGATGACTGTCGCAGTGGCCTTGATGGTGGCTCTGAGAGTGGCAATGGAGACATCTGAATAGGACAGCCATGACATCAGTTCCCCCACTGACCCAAGTCTTTCCTGTCCTGGCTCTGTTTAGACAGGGATGCAGGGACCCAGTACAGCCTCAGCTCTTTGTCTGGCTGCCGGGGAAGGTGGTTATGGTGATGTCTGGGACCTCTGGAGCTCTAGGTGCCTTCCAAAGGGTGCTGAGGGCTGGCGGTTCCCAGTGCATCATCTGAATTCAGATCACCGTTGGGACTCAGTCCCTGGGCTTGCCCAGCCAGGCGGGTGAAGCAATTCAGTTACCTGAATTCCACTGATGCCTTGTCTAACTGTCCCCCTCTCTAGTAGTGGTGTGGAACCCAGGTGACAGGAATGCTCAGGGATAAGCAGGAACTCGTGACTATCTGCTGCTGGGGACCAGAGCTCGGGTTAGTCTCATCAGATCTATATGCCTAGGGGGATCATATCTACTCCTGTCTGCTTAGCATAGGATTCTAGATTTCATGAATAGAATCCACTGAGTGGAGCTGGGGGAGGGAAAGGGAAAGGAAAGAGACAGAGATAGGGAATGTTTTGGCACTTCCTGGGGGCCTTACGCATGCTGAGCAAGTGCTCTACTTCGGAGCCAGCCCCCAGTGAATTTTTAGCGGTGCCTTGGGAGGGACATCCGTATCCTGCAGCCTGCAGTTTAGCTGGCACTCAACTGAGCCTTGCTGTACTGCATCTGGCCATCCTGATTTGACATTGTTGCCGGGGAAGGGGAGCCCACGGGTCCCCCTTACTTGATCCCAGGCCCTGTTCTCACCTAGGGACAAGGTTGTTTCTAGAAGGTTCTTTCAAACCTCAGCTTTGTGTTACTCTACTAAGGCACTTGACAGGGAGCCAGGTCTGCCTTCGTCACCAGATTATCTCTACCGTGTGCGCCAAACTCGGATTGGGTGCGCTGGGCCCCCTGAAACTCAGCATGGAGGATGTGTGATCAGCCAGCGCATCCTGGTCCTGTTGGTCCCTGGCTGTGCGACCTTGGGCATGCCGCTGCACTTCCTGTGAGCCTGCCTCTGCTCCTGAGAGTCAATGGGAACCCCATCATGGCTTGGGGGTAACTGAGACGTGCATATGGAGAACCCTTTCCATTGTAGGTGCCTGGCAGGCTGTGCCGGCTGTGGGCACCCCCGCGTCTGCTCTTCTCAAGGCTCCTCAGACGTGAGAGGAGACAAAGCAGGATATGTGGTGGGAACACCAAGCCCTTGGCATCCTTCAGGATGACAGACCCAGAGAAGAGCAGAGGAAGCCATCTTGGCTGTGGAGTCCCTTGGCTGGCTCTAGGAGGGATTGATGTGTCTGTCATTCTGCATCCCGAGTAGTGACCAGCATCACGGCTACCCAGAGTTTACGGGGTAGCACAGGAGTTATCCCTGAGGAGGGCTCTCCTGCCCAGAAATCAGTGGCAGTGGGGAAAGGTGCCTTGGATGGGCAAGCCAGTGGGGCTTCCAGGAGCCTGAGGCTCCCCCAGAGGCTGAGTGGGAGCCGGGTCACACCTGATGATGAATGATGAACTTGGGGCTCCCCACCCCTTTGCTTGGTGACTAGCTCCAGCTGAGGTCTAGAACTGGTCTTGCTTGCTGATAAGCCAGGGGAAGGCCCCCCCAAGTGGTTGGCGTGTCAGTCCCTGTGCTGCCCGGAGTGTGAGCCTCCAGGTGACGGCGCTTAAGGTGACATCAGGGGAAGTGATTCATTCCCCAGGGGCTGCATGGCCTGAGTATTTGGAAAAATGTTCGGATGTGTGGTTCATTGTGTACCAAGGGGTAACCAGACTCAGCAGGTGCTGTAGAACCCCACATTGGGCTATCTCAGCACCATTGCCCCAGTTTCCTCATGGGCTATCTCAGCACTTGAGGCCTATGCCCCAGCAGGCGGTGACTCCCATCCCCAATAGGCCACGTCAGCACCCTGACCTCCTCACTCCAATGGGCAGCTTCAACCCTCTCTCCTACCTTTCAGCAAAGCCGAATAGGGTCTTCCAGTCCTATAGCTCTGGGGTTTGGGATGCAGGAGTATGAAGCCACAGGGAGGACCATGCCTGAGCATCTCCTGGGCCTCCTGAATGCCAAACCAGCAATGCCCTGCAGTGTGTCTGGCCGGCTGTGTCCAGTGCCGCGTAGATCAGTGCTCTCAGAACTCACCGGGGCATGGGCAAGCTGGGCCGGGCTGCCAGGGAAGTAATTACAGGATTGATGGGATCCTAATTCAAGGGACTGACAGGTTGTAGGCGCCACTGGGACCAGGCAGGGCTCTCTCTCTCTCTCACTGCTCCAGCCTGTCCTTGTACCTACAGAAGGAGGGGTGCCCTTATTTGGAGGTCACATCTAAATGCTTACGTTGTTCCTGGACTATGAGGCCACAGAGAGGAGGCCCTATTCGGGTTTCATGGTGGCCTGAGAGCCATCAGTTGTGGGACAGCGAGTGGACTGTGGGCAGCTCACAGCAGTGCTGGCATCAGGCAGGATGAGGGGACACACTTGTCCTTCCACCACTCGGGAGGCTGAGGCAGGAGGACTGCGAGTCCAAGCACAGCCTGGGCCACCAAGTGAGACCCTGTCTCAAAAGTGAAAAGAGACCTGTAGTTTCTGGTGTCATCCCTGAAACTCAGCATGGAGGATGTGTGATCAGCCAGCGCATCCTGGTCCTGTTGGTCCCTGGCTGTGCGACCTTGGGCATGCCACTGCTCTTCTGTGAGCCTGCCTCTGCCCCTGAGAGTGCTTGCCAGGTGCACCTGAGTCGAATCCTCAATACTGTCAAAACGGAAAACCTGGTACTGGTATTGGTCTCAGAGGTCCGTTCCCTCAGTTCCAGACACAGTTCCTCGGAACCAGCTGCCACCTACCGTGCTGAGCTGGCTGGGGATCCATCCCTCCGGCACCCTCAGACGGTGCTGAGCTGGCTGGGGATCCAGCCCTCCGGCACCCTCAGACGGTGCTGAGCTGGCTGGAGATCCAGCCCTCCAGCACCCTCAGGCCTCTTCTTTCTGTCGCTTGGATCCTGGTGTGTGACTTGTTCCTTGGGTCCTCTCCTTCTGGGTTCTTAGCAGCTTCACATTCAAGCCCTGGTTCTGCTTTCTTGTCCCTGGACCTGGGCGGGGTCAGGGTCTCTTGGGGCTGGGGGTCAGGGTGACGGGCCGGGCCGTGGCCAGCCAGGTCGAGTGCTTGCTGTCCTGAGCTGTCCTGGAGGGGGTTGACCGCCTAGGTGTGGATGCCTCTCTATCCTCAGGATGCATTCATTTGATGAGTGTGCCCAACTTCACTGTGGCCCTGCCTCCCAGGATGTGTGGGGTGGGGACATGCCACGCTGGATAAGGACCCTGGAGGGGGCAGGGATGGAACCCAGCCACAAGTGGGAAAGGCCAGGGTTCCAAAGCACCCAGGCCTGGGGCTGGAACTGAGAAAGCTGGATTTTGTGGACAGGGGCACAAACCTGGGCCTCCACATGCACCCTGGGCCCCAGAGCAGGACCCCAGTCATTCTCTGTTAGAGTTCAAGGCCACTTGTAACCCTACTAGGAAGTGCTTCCAACAAGTCCTTGGGGCCAGACATCTGACCAAACCTGCCTAGGTCTTAAGCATAGTGTTGTTTAGGCTGGACAGAAGATAGGTCACTACTTCTCAAGGGCAGTAGGCATGCTGTGAGCCAGGTGGGCCACCAAGTGTGGACTCAATCTCTGGTCTTAGTGAGGAGAGAGGAGGACTAGATCTCCCTTCCCCCACCCCGCCAATACTCACCTGGGTGCACTATATAGGAAGAAGCGCCCAGAGGTGGCCAATTGGGTGGCTTCTCAGAACAGAATAGCTGAGGGGTCGTGCTGGTCCTTGCAGGCTGTGTGACCTTGGGCCCGTCACTTAACCCCTCTGAGCTTGCTTTCTCTCAGGCTAGCTAGGTGGGGTGATGTCACCTATTGTGTGCCATACAGTTGGCGTCCCTCGTCCTCCCATTGTACTAGTGAGGAATTTCATCACCCACAGGCCTCAGATCTGCTTTGGCGAGAGGAACATGACTCATTGCACTGACTCCCAATCAGGGCCCTCTCTCTCTCGGGGTACTTTGGTCCCAGGCTCTAGTCTTCCTCTGCTTCCAAGAATAAGAGTGACAGCTGCCACCTGGGCCCCTGTACCCACTGTGGGGAGACCTGCCTGTCTCCAGCCTTCCTCCTGGGCTGGCTGGGCAGCCGGCACTGAGCAACGCCAGGGCGTAGCGAGGTGCTCCTGAGCTACCGATCGCTATCTCTGGGAAGGAGAGGTCACAGACACACCCAATATGGTGTACACCTTAAGGAAATGTGTCTGCATGGTGCTGGGCCAGCCATGACCCTTCATGACTCCTGCCAGCTGCAAATGGCTAAAGGGGGACCGAGGGGGAAAGCCAAGGTTGGCTGGTGCCCCCTCCACCTGGTTGAAGAGCCCCCTGCTATCTCCCCTGCCCCCCATGTCCCCCATGCCCCCTGCTATCTCCCCTGCCCCCCTGCCCCATCACTCAGCACACACTCTCACCTGCTCTGCTGAGCTCTGGGGCATTGAGTCCACCTGCCTTGTGCCTGCTGAGGGGAACTCACTGAGAGTCAGTGTGCAGGATGTTTGTTCTTGTTCCTAAACGTGCATTGCGTGGTGTGTGTGGTGTGGTGTGTGTGTGCTCTGTATGTGTGCTGTGTGCGTGGGGGGGCATGTGTGTCCGTGTGTGTGTATGTGTGTGCGTGTGTGTGTGGTGTGGTGTGGTGTGTGTGATGTGTGTGTGCTGTGTGTGTGCTGTGTGTGCATGTGATGTGTGTGCTGTGTGTGTTGTGTGCATATACGTGGTGTGTGTGTGTGTCCTTCCCACGACCTCCCATGTGATCTCCCCTCAGCAGGACATGCCCCGGTCACATGCTCCTTATGATATCAGCCCACGTGAGAGATGGGGGATAAGTGTGTGGCTCCCTGCTGTATGACCTGAGAAAAGTTACCTCACCTCTCTGAGACAATGTTGTCATCTCTTAAACAGAGAAAGAAACGCCCACCTGAGAGGGTTGTGGGGGAGCAAAGAGGTCAAGAGTATGACAAACTAAGCTAAATCAGGAGCTCGGAGCCCGCCCCCTCTGCACCTCCAGCAGTCCAGGCAGATGGCCCCAGCAGGCAGGCAGGTATACCTTGACTGAGTGTGCAGACTGGAGAAGGCTGGGGCTCAGTGCCATCTTGCACTCCCTCTTGCTGTTGCTCTCTAAGGACTGTCTAGGTTCTGATGGCCTCCACCGCGGCTGGTTTGGGTGGCCCTCCTCCTGGCACCAGGCAGGAGACCCTCCAGGACAAATCGGGCTGGCACCCCTGCTCTCCAGCATACGGGCAGACCTGAAGACATGCCGAGTGTTGCAGGCTGCCGAGGAAAAGGGGGGCAGTGGTGCTAAGCCAGGGCAGGTGGCACAGACCAAGAAGAGTGACGGCGGCAGCCACCAAACATAGCGCAGCTTTTTACAGCATCGCCAGAATCCTCGCCAGACCAGGGGGTGGCTCTGTAAATGTGCCCATTTTATGGAGGAGAAAAACCAAGGCGGAGTGGGTCAGGGACCAGAGGTCACGCTCTGTGGAGGCTTTGGGAGAGTTCCCAGGCTGACGATGGACAGGGAGATGAAGGTGGCGGCTTGGGTTGGAGAACAACAGCCGAAGTGATCATGGCCCCTGTTCTAACTTGTTTCTGTTGCTGTGATGTAGACCGTGACTAAAGAAACATGGGGGAGGAAAGGGTGTATTTGCCATGGCCTAGCAAAAGGCACTGTTCTCTAACCACTGGGGAGAGTGTGAGGAACCACCTCCAGCTGCTAGCCAAGGCCACACTCCATCACTGCGGGAAGCCAGGGCAGGAACTCACGGCAGGAACCTGCAGGCAGGAGCTGGCACAGAGGCCCTGGAGGAGTGCTGCTTACTGGATCTCTCTCCGTGGCTTGCTCAGTCTACTTTTTTAAAGTACCCAAGACCACCAGCCCAGGGATGGCATTGCCCAAAGTAGTCTAGCCCCCTTATGAATCAATAGTCAAGAAAACGCCCCACACACTTGTCTGCAGGACAATCTCATGCGGGCGTTTTCTGAATTGAAGTCCCCTCTTCCCAAATCGCCATCGCTGTGTCAAGTTGACAAACACTGACCAGTACAGCCTCTTTGGCTCCCCCCCCATTACGTTTGAGATGGGGTTTCACTATGTAACCCCAGCTGGCCTGGAGCTGGCTATGTAGACCAGGCTGGCCTTAAACTCACAGAGATCCTCCTGCCTCTGCCTCTCCAGTGCTGGGATTAGGGAAATGCACCATGCTAGTCCTGCCCCTTCATTTTAGAGAGGAGGCTTCCTTTGATTTGAGTCTGGGGGCTTGCCGGAACTTCACACTGTTGGGAGCTTCCCAGCAAGATACCCCGCAGAGGCAACACGGGAGGCACGGTAATGTATACCAGAAGCAGATCCAACTGTGGATTTCCTGGGCTTACCCCAGCTCCCACACACGCCTGTCCCTTAACTCATGGCCCGCCCACACGACCCGTAGTGCCAGTCCAATGCCTGAGGCTCTAGGAGGAGTAGGGCCAGGATGCCAAGGCAATGAGAAGCTGAGGACACACAGCACCCTCCTGGCAAAATCCGCCCCTCTCGGGCACCACAAGAAATAGCCATGACTCCGCTGCCACCCTGGGACCTTGCAGGGTACCTGCTACTGGCATAGACAGGGTGAGGGCGGCCAGAGCCTTGAAAGCAACAGAATCGGGCTGGACAGGCTCCTCCATGCCCCAGGGAAGGGCTCTGCAGGCTTACTCTGCCTATGGCTGCCTCTCAAGGGAAGCCACAACTGGTCCCTACCTATGAGGGTGGCACCTTTACACCTGTGACACAGCAGGGAACGTGGCAGGAGACTGGCAGGCATGGTGCCAGAGCTGTAGCTGAGTGCTTCCATCTGCTCCACTAGCGGAAGACAGAGAGAGAGAGACAGAGACAGAGACAGAGAGACAGAGAGCGCTAACTGGCAATGGCCTGGATTTTTGAAACCTCCAAACCCACCCCACAGTGATTCACCTCCTCCAAGGCCACACCTCCTAATCCTCCCACCAGCTGGGGATCAAGCATTCAAATATCCGACCCTATGGGGTTATTCAAACCACCACACTTTCCAGCACCGATTCTGAGGTTGCTGACCGAGAGGGGAGATGTTGGGTACACACACACCTGCATTTCACACACATCTCAAGCCACAGTCAGGTCACCCATCAGATTCAATGGCAATAGCATTATTGATGAGATAAGGATCAGTCTGGGACAGACGCTACTGCCTTGTTCAGTTGTGGTATGAGCTGCCCCCCAGGGCCAGCTACAGCGAGAAGGGGGTTCTACAGACTTTATTCAGTGCTTGCCAATAAGGAGTAACACACAGTGTAGCAACTGTAGGATATACCTTGTTTATGTTAATAGGTCTTATAATAAATGTTGCTAAACCTGGGGCTGGGCTGGGGCAGCAAGGGATGCATTGGTGAGGCTGGGTGGAGGGAAAGAGAGCAGAGACTGGGGTCTTGCAGCCAGTTAGGGACGAGTTTCAAGCAAAAGGAGAAAGGGTTCTGAGTCTGGGGTTGGAGTGACGCTGGTGGCCTGGGTAGGGAGGAAGGCTGAGGGGCGTTCCACAGACCGTAGAGGGGTGTTCCACAGACCGTGGGTACCCAACAGCCTGGTGACCATCCCTCCAAGCCATGACCATCAAAATGGATGATGTTTGGAGTGTACATGAGCTGGCTATGAGGGAGAAGGGAAGGGGGTGTAAATGACACCCCTGGCGCAAGCCAGGGACAGGCTTGGGTGGGGTTAAGAGACAGGTGTGATAAGTACAGGTGATGGGCAGGTGCCCTGCCCTGGGGAGAAGGGGAAGGTGGCAATAGCTGAGAGAGAGAGAGAGAGAGAGAGAGAGAGAGAGAGAGAGAGAGAGAGAGAGAGATCAACAGTCAGACAGTGTCAGAGGTCATTTTCAAGGTCAGCAGCCCCAGATCCAGAGGATCCCTTGTCTCCAGCACAGTTCAGGAACTGAGTGAAGAACTGGCCTTGGCAGTTAAGCCAGGCAGTTGGCAGAGGGAAAGCTCCGCCAAAAATGTCTGAGGACCAAAGCTTCAAAGGCTGAGAGGGTCAGGTCAGGGGATTGAGGCCTGGTGTGGGAGTGTTGGGATTCAGCAGTGGTCCCATGGGTGCTGACAGGACAATCCACAGCCGGTTGGTCCTTAGTAATGACTGTGTGGGGCCTGCTACAGAGATGCCTGAGGCCGGACGGAGGCGGCTGCACTGGAAGCCTGGGGTCAGGAGCTGGTGCCATTGCCAAATAAAACCGTGGGAAGGCAGACTGCAGAGTGCTGGGAGGTTCTGAGGCAGGAAGGCTTGGCATCTTCATGAACAGAAGGGAGGACCATGTGGTTAGAGCAGAGACACTTGGAGGCAGGGCCCCCAGTCCTACTGGTAAGGGATCCCCTCCAAGCTGACATTCCAGTCTCGGCCTCATACGGCCACGCTCTGAGCCCCTGTCGCTCCCCCTCTTTCCTTAGTGATGTGCCCAAGGGTGCCAACACCTTCGGGGTGTCTGGGAGCTCTGAGGTGAAGATCTACATGGTCTATGATCCCGCACGGGTGGCGGAGCCCACAGGCCGGGCCCACTGGCCCCTGGATGCCAACGTGGATGTGGTTGTGGTGGCGGACAAAGTCAGTAAGGACTTAAATGACCTCAAGGTAAGCATAACTCAGGCTAGCTTATATCCCATTCTGTGTCGTCTTGGAAACATCCCTACAGAGACCCAGGCCTCGTGCACCCCGACATCACACAGCACACAGGAACAACCTGGTCGCCCCTCAGATCCACATGGAGACCCAGACCCATAGCCCACCTCATCCACCCCGACATCACACAGCACACGGGAAAAACCTGGTCACCCCTCAGATCCACACAGATCTGTTACTCCCTCCAGTTGCCCATAAACATCTGTGCTCCCCCAGCAGGAGTCCGTGGCCACACTCATATGAACTCACACGGGGCCCCAGCACAACCAGTCAAGCCTCCACGTGCACCCAGAAAGCCACCTCTGGGCGACCCCTCCCCGCTGGCCCTAGTGTCTCCCACATACAATGTTCCCTCAACTCCTGGCCCAGTGCTTTCTCTGGATGGGACCGAGTAGGACCTGTGTGTGGCTCTGCACATGGTGGCCTGTGGCAACCCTCCCTGGACAGAATCCTGCCATGTGGGTCAAGTGGGATAGGGGTGGGAGTCTGGACTTTGGCAAAATCCTGACATTCACTATGTTCACGGGACCAGAGTGGTCATTCCCTCAGTACAGAGACTGAACGATGCCAAGGGAGGTCAAACTGCCTAGGCCAGCAGGGACAGTGGGCCCTCTGTCTCTCATGTCCAGAAGGTCCTGGAGCTACCATGTCCTCTTTGTTTCCCCGCTCCTTTCTCCTCAAATTACTTGGCACCTTGGAACAGCACCCCAGGTCATAACTGCCAAAGAGCTTTGCCTCCGCCTCAAAACAGAGTTGTGGGTGTGGCCCCCACGTCCCCTGCCTAGACCACTCTCAGGACTGACTTAAAACAGAGTTGTAGGTGTGGACCCCATGTCCCCTGCTTTGACTTCTCAGGATTAACTTCCTTCCACAGGTGAAGGTGTCCTACTTCGAGTCGCCGGATGCTCGCGCCCTGGGTCACAGTGTGCTCTACCTCACTGGTGTTGGTAAGTCCTGTTTCTGCCCGGCTGTGGACATGGTAGCTATTGGAGTGTGGTGAAGGTGAGGTGGAGCCAGCCGCCTCTCCCCTCTGCCTCCTGGGAACACTAAACTTCTCCAGGACCACGGGGATGGAGACCCAGCCATGCTTAGGACAATAGAAATGTTATCGCTACCCGCTTGAGCCATAGCGGCTTCCTCATGGGAGTCCCACACGTCTCCGGACCCCTGAGACCCAACCTAGAACCACAAAGAGCCACACGCTTCTTTCATCCAGAGCCCATGGCAGCCTCCCCTGAAGACAACAGACCCTGACCATGGGTCCCCAGGACTACAGTTAAGGGCGCCCTGTGTGTGGCATAGAAACCCAGGGTCATAGTCACCCAACACACATGGCCAAGCCAGTGACTTGTGTCCCTCCAACACCAGATCCACCAGTGCCATTCTAGACGGAGCCCCAGGGCCAGCACGTGGGCTCCCAGATGTCGAGTCTCCAGAGTTGAGCTCCTCATCAGCTGGGGTGGGAGTTAAGATGGCTGGGCCTGCCATCACAGGGAGAGACAGGTGACCTGTCTGACCTTTGCAGATGTGTCCCTTGATGCTGACACGGGCCGCACAGGCAAGGTGAAGAAAGGCTCCAGTGACAAGGTGAGTACACTGGGTACCCCGAGAGTGTGGAGCTGGAGCTGACAGGCAGACCTGGGTGATGCTGGCACCAGAAGGGTCTGTACTGTTCATGGGAGGATGGCCAAATTGGCGCAAGTGAGCAGTAGCTTAGGCCATGACACACATGCTGTGTGGCTCTTGGGAAAGCACTTACCCTTTCTGGTCTGTCTTATTCTGCTTGCTGCAGTTTCTACTCAGGGGTTTTGTGGGAACCCCTCAACATGGCAGGTGCTTCACAAAAGGCTGTTGAGTAACTGGATGGCCTCTTTTCAGTAAAGGGAGCTGTGGCGTTAAGTTATAGCTAGGCCATGAAGAATGAAGGATGGCCTTGTCCCGTGGGAAGCATGTAGTCCTCATGGGGCAGGAGGTACAGTTTGTAGGGAAAGATCCAGAGAGTCGGCCTGGATCTCGAGGTACTGTGGACAAGATGGGGCAGGATGCCCGAATGAAAGGCTGTGTGTTCACCCTGCACAAGGTCGTTCGGGGGTTGTAGGCAGGGACTCCGATGAAAACCATGGCACGGACCCTGGCACAGGGTGGTGTATACTCAGAGGGGTGGGCAAGTGTCATGGGTGCCATGGAAGCCAGCAATGGGCCTGTGCCATCCCAGAGACCTGGGTTTGAAGATTAACTAAGGGTTTCTTCCCCGAGTTTCTCTTTACTTTCCTGCCAAATGGAGAAAACTTATCGGGTATTGGGGACAGTAGTGTCCCCAGAGTCAGGCAGCTTGGTCCTCAGCCTGGAAGGCTTTGCAAGGCCCTTATGAATGTTAGGTCCAGGAGAATGCTGGAATGGGAGAGACTTCTTCATGGAGTCAAGATGAGGTGACTTCTGTCTTAATGTGGCCATTTCTGTGCATGGTGACGTCACCCTGCTCCTCTGATGTGGGTGCTGGGCAGAGCCATGTGGTGATGTCACCTTGCTCCTCCACTGTGGGTGCTGGGCAGAGCCATGTGGTGACGTCACCCTGCTCCTCTGATGTGAGTGCTAGGCAGAGCCATGTGGTGATGTCACCCTGCTCCTCCGCTGTGGGTGCTGGGCAGAGCCATGTGATGACGTCACCCTGCTCCTCCACTGTGGGTGCTGGGCAGAGCCATGTGATGACGTCACCCTGCTCCTCCGCTGTGGGTGCTGGGCAGAGCCATGTGGTGACGTCACCCTGCTCCTCCGCTGTGGGTGCTGGGCAGAGCTACTGCATATGGCCACACAGGTTGTGTGAGCCTTACTTCTCTTTCTGCTTTCCCTCTTTAAATCTTGGAACAAACCCAGAATATGAAAGTTTCTGGGCTGACCACTGAGCTAACCCAAGTTTCCTGTGTGCCACAGAAAACCTGGCGCTGGGGCTCCAGAGGCTCTGGAGCCATCCTGTTGGTAAACTGTGACAGAGACGTCCGTGGGTCCAGGGAGGACCTGCATGCCAGCCATTTGAGGTCGCTGGAGGGTGAGTGACAGCAGACGTGGGAGGTGAGGAGGGAGGGAGAGAGGGGGTCTTGTGTACCAGGTTTTCTTTTGGGCCACCAAGCACCTCCCAAATCAAGACGCAGAGGCTTCTTATAGTTATGAATGCTCGGCCTAGCTTAGGCTCATCTCTTACTAGCTCAGATCTTAACCTGTTTCTCTTCATCTGTGTTTTGCCTTGGGGCTTTTTACCTTTCTTTCCTTCTGTCTATCTTACTTTCATTGCTTCTCACATCTAGCTGGCAGCTGCCTGGCTTCTGGCCCCGGGTATCTTCTCTCTCTCTCTCTCTCTCTCTCTCTCTCTCTCTCTCTCTCTCTCCCTCCCTTCCTCCCTCCCTCTTTCCGCCCACTCTCATCCTCTTTTTCTCCCTAGGTTTCTCCTCCTACTTATTCTCTCTGCCCACCAGCCCCGCTTATCCATCTCCTGCCTTGCTATTGGCTATTCAGCTTGTTATTAGACCAATCAGGTGCCTTGGACAGTCCAGGTGAAACAAATGGAGCACATCTTTACATAGTTAAACACACATCTGTATATGGTTAAACAAATACAGCATAAACAACTGTAACAGACCTTTACACAGAGTAATATTCCGCAGCATAAACAAATGTAACACATCTTTGCCTAGTTAAAACAATATTCCACAACAGTCTTGGGCGGGGGCGTTTGTCTCAGAAGTCACTCTCCCAGACCTGCAGGACATGTCCCCAATGGTGCTGAGCTGCGGTGGCCCTGATGAGCTCTTTGAAAGCCACAAGCTGGTCTTGAAGGTGTCTTTGCCCGATTCCAGGAGGCTGAGGGTCTTCTGTGCCCGAGGTGAGTGGTGGTGGTTTGTCTCATCCCCTGTCCTCCTTCCCTGGCTCTCTGCCTTTGTCACCTTTTTGTAACTCATTGTGGTTTGTGTGACTCCTCCCCGGGGCACAGTATGGCAGCCAAGGATGGGGCCCAATTGCCGGTCCCATTGCACAGAGGGAGAAACTGAAGCCCAGACACACAAAGTCACAACTGCACAGTCAGGTGGGGTGGAGTGAGAGTTCAAGCCCTGCTTCTTGAGCACCTAGGCCCCTCCCTGACCCCACGTGATTTGCTGGCTCCTCTAGGCAGTAGACCAGCACCAAACTCTTGCTGTCTGGGGGCCCCACCCAAGCAGTCAAGGAGAGGCAAGGGACCTTGGAGGCTAGAGCCTGGCTTCAAATCCTGGCTGAATTGCTAGATTCTTTTAATCAGAATCTGTGGCTTTAGGGGACTGGGGTGCAATCTAGTGGTGATGTATTTAATCATCCCAATAAAAATCCAACCGCAGCAGAAGCCACTCCCGTCTTCCGTCTCCACAAATGAGATTCGTCCATTATGTGGTATGCACGCGCGCTTCATTGCTTTCTGTGGGTGGAGAAGAGCGCGTCTATGGATGCACTTTATTGGGTATAATCCGTTTATAGCCGCTATGGACGGACATTTGGGTCTTTACCACCTTTGGGGCCAGATGCTTTTCTCTAGTTATCCGCTATACAGTTCACCTGAGGCTCTGAGAGGCTGAGACATGGGCCAAGGTCACTGCTTGGGCAGTTTAGAGATGGAAGGGTTCCGGCCCAGACGATCCTGTCCCCACATTGACCTGACCCTCTTCTCCTTAGGTGGGACCTCCCTCTCCAACTACAAGCAGGTGCTAGGACCCCATCACGAGGTCTATGAGGTGGAGCGGCACCCCGGGGAGAGCGACATTCAGTTCTACGTGGAAGGGCTCGCCTTCCCTGACACCAGTTTCTCAGGGTTGATCTCTCTCAGTGTCAGCCTGGTAAGCACAGAGGTGAGTGCTAGATGGGGGCCGGGTCAGGGGAGGGGCGTGGTCAGGGGAGGGGCGTTGTCAGGGGAGGGGCGTGGGGAACAGAGGGCAGCCTGGAGCCCACAAAGTCCACAAAGTCACAGAGCGCTCCTCTCACCCAGGCCCTCTCCGAGGTGTCGCTCTTCACAGACAGCGTGACCTTCCGAGTGGCCCCCTGGATCATGACCCCCAATACCCAGCCGCCCCTGGAGCTGTATGTCTGCAGGTGAGCCCTCCCCACAGCCCCACCTTGCCCAAACCAGAATATAAGCAGTAATGCTGGCCAGCCCTCACTCAGGGATGGTGTCACAGCCTTGAGGTGCCACAGGACCGCAGGAGAGGTCACGCCACTGTCACCGGCACCAGCTCCAAGTCTGCAGGCTCCCCACCTGTTATGGAGGCCCAGACATCTTGAATTCAGTCTCGGAGATGGGGTGAGGTGTGGCGGTATAGGCCTGTAATCCCTCATTTAGGAGGTCGAAGGCTGGGAGTTCAAATCAAGCCTCTGCTACTTGAGGCCCTATCTCAAAACAAAACAAAACAAAACAAAACAAAATCTGAGTTGTGGGGCTGGGCCCTACATGTGTGCCAGGAACTGTAGGGACCTGGCTTCACTCTTTTGACGTCATTTCTGGCATCTTCTGAGGACCTAGAGACCCAGTCACAGGATCCATTGTTGAGTCTTGCCCATTCTTGGTGTTCCTGGTACTTCTGCTATGCCCTAGTATCTAGCGGCCTCTGCTGGTCAACCTTTGAAATACCACAGGTAGGAGTGGCCAGATGCAAATTCATAGGAAGAGGATGTGGCCACTAAAGGCCTTCTGTCCACCTGGATCCAAGAGTGTCCCAGCCTCCTGTCTGCTCAGAGATATCACCTTCACTCTCTGCTCTGAGAAGACAAGGCTAGCCCACTTACTGGCCCCTCCATCAGTGGCATCAGCCCCAGGTCACCTCCGTAGCCACCCCAGACTGCCTGCCTGGGCTAGTTCAGGCACCCTGCCTCTCTGGGCTCCCCAGCCTGGCTTTGCCCTGCTCAGACACCAGTCACCTGATGTGATCTAGGGACGGGATGCCCATCCACGAGTCTTCCAGTCTCTCCAGGGTAGGGATGGATCTGAGGCTCAGCACCCAGGGATGCAGGGTCTGGCACAGCTGGATTCTCGTCTCAGCGGCAGTCACTGTCCTTGCAGTGTGACAGATGCCCATGGCCGCAATGACAAGTTCCTGGAGGACATGGCCCACCTGGCTCTGAAGGCCAACTGCAAGCTAGTGGTCTGTCCCCGGGTGGACAATCACAACGATCGCTGGATCCAGGTGGGTGCAAGGCTGGTCCAGAGAAGAACAGGGTGGGGGGGTGGGTGCCTGGGAGTACAGGCGCTCAGGCACATCCGCCTGCAATGCCTGGGGACATGGGCCTACCTGGCCATGCTAGAGCAATATAGGTCAGAGCTGAAGACCACTCCCCAACAGAAGCCATCTCTCCCGTCTCCTCCAGGCACCCTGATGCAGGGCCAGGCTTTCTGGATAAAACCCTGGAGGCCTCCCCCTCCATCCCCACCCCTGTATCCTCCCCAGGACTTGGGTGATGTCGTTGTCTGGGGTCAGCTTTCCTGAAAGCCCCTGAGAAGGCCTGCTGTAGATCTTTCTTCCTCACGCAGGACGAGATGGAATTTGGCTACATCGAGGCCCCTCACAAATCCTTCCCTGTGGTCTTTGACTCCCCACGAAACAGAGGCCTGAGGGACTTCGCCCTTAAGAAGATCCTGGTGTGTAACCAAGTACATGAGGTGGGGAGGGAGGAAGTGGGGGATGCAGGGCTTTGGTGGCTCCTCTCCTGGGAGCCCTGGTGGAGCCTCATCTGGTCTTTTAGGGTCCGGAGACTGTTGGGGATGGTGACAGCAAACCTGGAGAGTGGTGGCAGGTTCCATATAAGAATGCAGATTGTATGTAAATCATATGCAAATAGAACCCTCTCCCATTATACTGTCTCCCATCCTGGGAGAGACAGAACAGATGTTCTTCGTCAGGGATCAGTCTCAGTGGCCTGGGGGGGGAGGGGTCATTCTCAATGGGAGTCAACAGAAACGGCAGCCCTGGAGACCAGGCTGCCTCTGAGGGGCAGCGTACCCTTAGCGAGCTTGCCAGGGACTGTGGTACTCCCTGCCCACAGGATGGCAGCAACGGCTCTGCCACCACTGAGTTCTGGACAGTGTCCCCTTGTTTTTATGGCTTCCCACACTCAGTCCACAAGACACTCTGCCTTATTATTAATAACTGTTAATTATAAAGTTTCCTTTTCACTACCAAGGAAACTGAGGCTGGGGAGGTTAAGCAACTTGCCCCCAAGGTAAGGAGCCGGTGGGGCACCCATGCACGAACCCCAACTGGTACCTACAAAGTCTCTGTACCTTACAATTGGTGGCACCTTCTCCTGAGGTGGCCCAGTTTCTGTGGGTTTATGGGTCCCAAGTCCCTTCCTGCCAGAACAGTACAGATCTAGGTGGGAGTTTGGGAATAGGGTGTCTCAAGCCTGTAGCTAGCAGACCTGAATGGGGGTGGGGTGGGGTGTACCAAGCCTTTCTCTGTCCTGCCAGCCAGTTCCCAAATAACTATATGGAGACTTCTTATTAATTATGAAAGCTCTGCCTTAGCTTAGGCTTGTCCCACTAGCTCTTACAACTTAAATTAATCTGTTTCTATTAATCTACATTCTGCCGTGTGGGTTATAGCTTTTCCCTCTCCTCCTGCACATCCTCATTCTTCTGTGTCTGGCTGCCTCTCCGAGTCCTCTCTGTCCCCAGAAGTCCTGCCTAACCTCTTCCTGCCTAGCTATTGGCCACTTAGCTCTTTATTAAACCAAGCACGGTAACACATCTTCACATTGAGTAAAGGAATATTAGCAATGGGGGGAATAAATCCTGCAGGGTGAGTTAGCTCTTTATTAAACCAAGCACGGTAACACATCTTCACATTGAGTAAAGGAATATTAGCAATGGGGGGAATAAATCCTGCAGGGTGAGTGGGGGGGGGGACCAGAGCACCCTGGCTCTTGGCTCGGTGACCCCCCCTCCGCCTCCACTTCCTTTGGGTCCATGGCACTCCCTTCTTCTTGGCTTACTGTGGAGGCTGAGCCTGCTGAACGCCTTCTCTTCCTGGTATGTAAGTCAGGAAGTCTGAGCCCTCTGTCTTCCCAGCAGCTCACAAGTCTTAATGTGTGGGGTATTTGTGTGTGTGTGTGTGTGTGTGTGTGTGTGTGTGAGAGTGAGTGTGTGCATGCACATACATGTGGAGACCGGAGGTCATCCTTGGGTGTCATACCTCAAGACCATATTTCTTTTTCTTTTCTTTCCTTTCTTTCTTTCTTTCTTTCTTTTTTTTTTTTTTTTTTTTTTTTTTTTTTTTTTTTTTTTTTTTTTTTTTTGAGACAGTGTCTCCTGTTGGCCTGGGACTTGTCAATTAGGCAAGGCTGACTAGTGAGTGAGTCCTAGGGGTTTACCCTGCCTCCCAGCACTGAAATTGCAAGTGTGTGGTGCTACCACACCCAACTTTTATGTGGGTGCTGGGACAGAAACTTAGGCCCTCACGCTAGCTGGTGAGTGCTTTCTTTACCTCCCGAGCCATCGGCCCAGCCCTGGTGTCTCCATGGTCTCTCTTCCATGCCTGTCCATGCACGACTCCTTTAGATGCACGCTGCTTGACCAAGGGCCTGGAAACTCTCTGCCCACCTCTGGGCACTGACTAGATCTTGAACTGCTCAGTGGGTAGAGAGAGTTAGGTGTGGAGACCCAGGGAGCAGGTGCCCAGTGTCTTCCCCTCCTGTGAGTGTAGCTCCTTCCCCCTTGACCCTCCTGTCCGTGGGTGCTCTGACGGTGCCTCTCCAGGGTCCTGACTTCGGATACGTGACCCGGGAGATCCAGTACGCAGGTGCCTCTGGCCTGGATTCCTTCGGCAACCTGGATGTGAGCCCACCGGTGAGGGTGGGCAACAAAGAATACCCGCTGGGCAGAATCCTCATCGGTGGCAACTTCCCCAAGTGAGTGGCCTGGGAGGGTGGCGGGTGTGGGAGGATGCAATAACCCCTCCACGTGGCTCTCCAGACTGGGAGGTGCTCTCCAGAACCCATGGGGAATGACTATCACAGCATCCAGACTGGGAGGTGCACGGAATGACTGTCACACAGATATCGTAAGGTTTCAGGGACAAATTAGTGGCCCAGAGTCTGACAAGGATAATCGCCAAATTAAACCAGCATGTCAGAGGCTGGGGATGAGCTCAGCTGATAAGGGGCTTGCCTACCATGCATGAGTCCCTCTCTGGGTTTGATCTCCTGTAGTAAGTAAGCCAAGAGTGAAGGCTCACAGCTGTGATCCCAGCACTGGGGTGACTAGAAGCAGGAGGACAAGAAGTTCAAGGTCATCCTCAGCTACTTGGAGGACTCAAGGCCAGCCTGGGTTAATGAGACCCTGTCTGATGGGAGGTAACACGCCCTTTGCTACATAAGCAGGGACAGGCTCTTTGCATGGGGAAGGCGAAGTCACTGCTGCCCTGTCTTGAAAGGGCCCAGAGGCTGCCCAGAGGCAGAACGGGCTGCTGGAACCCTTGTGGCAGAGTGACTCAGTGACATACACGGGGCCCCGCAGTGATGGTGCAGAGAACACGGTGTTTAGGATTCAGTTAACACTCAGACGGGTGCAGATGCCTGCTCATCTTGTAGTGGGTCCCTCCCTGCCCCCAGGGAGCCAGACAAGGGTGTGCTCCTTGAAGCCCACTTGGGTTTCTCCCTATCACAAACTCTCCATGCCCCTTTCATTTGTGGAAATTGGTGTGGAGCCTGGGAGTGCCCCACTTGTCCTCTGAGCCCCAGCTGGCCACACAACCCCAGGTGGAGAGCCTGGGGTTGCTGAATCAGACAAGGTGGGTTTTGCTGGTACCAAGTGAGGCCCAAAGTTGGGGTGTTAAGACCTGCTGCACTGGCTGAGGCTGGCTAGGAGATGAACAGAGGCCCCACTGACCGTCCACCTCAGATAGCGCACTGGGGCTGGGCTTCAGGGGGCCGCCTGTGAGTCTCCAGGATCCGATGCCCATTGTGCTCGTTGTACAGTGTCTGGCAAATCCTCGGTGCACGATTCATTCATTCAAATTAAGGACAGGTGCCAGGCGTGGGTGAACATACCATGGGTGCTAAACATGGGGGTACAACCCTGTAACCCCAGGAGGCTGAGGCAGGAGGATTGCGAGTTCAAGGCCAGCCTTGGCTACAGAGTGTGGCTCTGTCTCAGAACTAAAAACCCAAACAAATAAAACGAACAGACTAAAAAGGGTGGGGGGACTAAGCAAAGCAAAAACCAACACACAGAAAAGGAAGTTCCAGGGATGTGGGGTGAGCAAGGCTGTTGCACTTTAAATAAATGATTTCTTTTATATTCCATGCCTCATTTTCTTCAACTGTAAAGCAGGCCTGATAAAAAGCCCACTCTCTCTGGGCGTTGGTGTACACCTTTAGTCCCAGCCCTCAGGAGGCAGAGGCAGGAGGATCTCTGTGAGTTTGAGGCCAGCCTGATCTACAAAGTGAGTTCCAGGACAGTAAGGACGGTTATACAGAGAAACCCTGTCTTGAAAAACCAAACCAAACCAAACGAAAAAACTCTCCTTTAGAATTAAAGGTGGGTGGTGGTGGTGGTGCACACCCTTAATCCTGCCCCTCAGACTCCCGAGGCAAGAGAACTAGAGGCCAGCCTGGTCTACAGAGCAAGTTCTAGGACAGTCAGGGTGGCACAGAGAAACTGTATTCTGAAAAACAAAGTCTCTCCCTTGGGGCTGACTAGATGGCTTGGTGGGTAAGGTGCCTGTTTCCCAAGGGTGAAGGCTTGAGTTTGGGTCTTCAGCACCTATGTAAAAAGCCAGGCATAGCAGGCCATGTTTGTAATCCCAGCACTGGGTGTAGAGACAAGAGGGTCCCTGGGGCTCTCTGGGCAGCCAGCCTACCTGAAAATAAATCTCAAGTTCAGTGAAAGACCCTGGCCCCAAAACTAAGGCGGCGGGCACTAGAGGAGGACACCTAATATCAACTTCTGGCCTCTACACACAGGGTTGGGGTGGGTGCAGAGGGGGCAGATCTGTCCCAGTCAGGAGACTATTCTACATACAAGCCGCAGAAACCCCTTCTGGAGTCTCTAGGTTCACATAAAGGAACAAGGAAGTCAAAGTCTCCAGGTGCCCATGAGCTGTGGCCCACCGAGGAGCTATGTATGCATCAGCCTTTGGGCTGTTAAAAAACAGGAATGAGGCCCTTAGTGGAAGATGAAACCTTGGTGCCCAGAGAGGGAGAGCCACATGTCTAGAGTCACACCGGATTAATGATGCTGTCAGAATCCAGGTATCCTCCACGGGTCCCATAGAATTTGACAAGTTGAGCTGGTGTCCCCTACCATCCCTGACATCTGTCCTCAGTAGCAAACAGAATAGCCAGCCTTCAAGATCTGAGCTCCAGGATAGCCTGGTCTACCTAGTCAGTTCCAAGCTAGCTAGGGCTATGCAGTGAGGCCCTGTCAGTAAAAACAAATTAAATCCCAGTAATTTTTCTGAGCTCCACGGTGTCTGTGTCTATAAAATGGGGACAGTGCCAGCCCCAGCCTCATGGGGCTGCTGTGTGATTAGACACAGCCCAGGTAGAGTACTCCATGCATGGCACGCAGTTGGGGGGTAGCACCTGTCCCCTCCATCTCGGTAAGAGTCTGACGGCGAGACGATGTTTTGAAGGAAGACGGTTACAAGGCTGACTGTTTAGAAGGAGATGTTCCGGGGAAAGACAAATGCTTTTGTAAAGGCCCTGAGGTAGGAGCGTGCCGGAGGGTTTAGAGGCTTGTGAGGAGGCCAGTGTGCAGGGGCTGAAGCTGAGGGAGAAAAGAGAAGCCCATGCTGCACAAGATGGGAGGAGGCAGAGTGACCCCCAGATGGTGACATCGCTAATATACATGCATCCTGGGATGACCATTTTTAGGGTCATTTGTTTCCAAGACAGGGTTTCTCTGTAACAGCCCTGGCTGTCCTGGAACTAACTCTGTAGACCAGGCTGGCCTCAAACTCAGAGATCCTCCTGCCTCTGCCTCCCGAGGGCTGGGATTAAAGGTGTGCTACCACCGCCCAGCTCAGGATGGTCTTGAGGACCAAAGGTGGCGTTTAGTGTAAGAGCCTAAGCCAAGCGCACAGTAGGCACCCAACAAACCAGAACGTTCCTGGCTGCCTTGGGGTTCTCCCCTCATGCACTCCAATCATTGAACAATTCCGCCCCCTAGTGGTGGCTTTTGTGATGATGCAGAGACGAACCTGCCCTTACCTGGGACTGGGAACCACCTCCTCCCTGCTCCAGCCTCCAGAAAGGGGCGTGGGAGAGAGTCCCAAGGAGAGGCTTCACGCAGCACCTGCTGAACTGTGTTTGCTTTCTCTTCATCTCATTGTTTTTAAAGATGCACTTCAAAAAACTATAGTAAACAGACAGAAGAATGTGGTCCCCGCTTTCTACCCTCGATTCTCACCAGGAGCTTCATTGGGGCCTTGGTCAAGCTTGTTTGCAGCAGGCTCCAGACTCCATTTTCTGTAAATTACGAACTTTCTTTTTCTGTCTGACTTCAAAATCAAAATACAGCCAAGGATCTTCCTGCCTCCGCCTCTCAGATGCTGTAGTGACCAATGTGTGCCGCCACACCCCGTTCACGCAGTACCAGGGAACTGAACCGAGGACCTCAGGTGTGGCAGGGAGGCACTGCACTAACTGAGCGCCTCTGAAGCTGCTCGGTCCTACCTGTTACTCCGAGGCCTCTGCCTCACTCGCCATTGTTCCGGAAGCAGATATTATGTGACAGGGGCTGGGGCTTCAGCAGAACGTGGCTTAGACTAGGCCCCTGCCCTGGTTGAGTGTGCATCCCAGCAGGGGGTGAGAGCCAGATGAGAGGTGGGTAACCAGCAGACCCTGATGAGGTAGTATTCCAGCTGGGGACCCAGTGCTGTGGGGAAAAATGAGGCAATGAAGGGGGTTGGGGCACGGCTGCCATTTGTCAAAATTTCAGCGGAAGAAGTCAAGATTTGAGTTACACCCAGAAGAGGAAAGAGGGGTGCCTTGGGACCATGGGGAGAGGACTGTGACTCCAGAGGGGATGGGGACAGAGTAGGTGCACAGGTCCTGAGGCAGGAATGTGTCTGATAAGTTCAGGAGACAGAAGAAGACCAGAATGAGTGGAGAGGAGAGGGTCAGGGCCAGGGTGGGCGTTAGGTGGACCATGGACCATGGGGAGGTCAGGAGGAGGTCAGGAGGGGCTGTGCAGCTTCTGGAGGTAAGATGGGAGCAAGCCCAGGGTTTCAACCGGAAGAAGTACATAGTCTGACTTTTAAAATTCTCCCTCTGGACGGATCAGGGATCAAGTTGGAAATAGGCATTAAAAAAAAAAAAAAAAAAAAAAAAAAAAACAGGCCACTGGCCACCCAGACAGGAAGGCTCCTGCTGGTCCCTGAGAAGGTTTGACATCACTCCTCTTTGAGGGCAAAGTCTCCACACTGGAGAAGAGCTTTTGGATAACACGGCCTTATGCTGGACGGTTGGTTGGAAACAAGATCTTTTTATACAAAATAACCCTCTGAGTGGGTCCTCTTTCCCAGAGGAGAGACCAAAGCTCAGAGAGCCAAGAAGACCACCAGGGCCACACAGCTGAGAAAGGTCAGAGCCAGCCCCTGATGATTCCAGGCCCCGAGATCTGAAGCCCAAGCAGAGACCAGGGCCTGAGAACGTAAACCAGTCGGTGACGGACATGAGTCCCTAGGTTCAACCCCAGCACCACATAAACCATTAAGGTCTTGCGCTTGTGATCTCAGCACTTGGGAGGTAGAAGCAGGAGGACCAGGGGTTTGAAGCCATCCTTAGCTACATAGGAGGTGGAGGAGGACACATCCTGTTGTATTCTTCCCAGGTAAAGGGCTCTTAAGAAATGCTAGATTTCATCTCAAGAACTTCTGGGGAACCCCAAATTCCTGAGGCAGTATGTGAGTTTCACACTCTGGCATAAATAAGACTCAGCCTCTCTTCAACACGCAAAGCCTTCAGACTCCTCAGGGTGATTGGCTGGGTGCAGAAGGCCTCGCTCAAACAAGCTCCACCCCCTTGCCAAACCTACCCCCCTACCTTGGCCTGGCCTGCATCTGCCACGTCCGTCCACCTATCCCCTAACCCATGGTGTCTGCTTCTCTCCTCCTGGGACATCCTATCCCCACTCTGTTCCCAACGGCTTCAGCTTGGGCTGCACATCTCTGGGCCTGTAACCAGTGGAGTGTGGCCCTGACCTTTCTCAGCAGCGAGGCCCAGACTACATCACCTTAACTCTCTGGGCCTCAGTTTCCCCTTTGGTAAAGAGGACCCACTCAGAGGGTTGTGAGGGCACGGAACATGTACCGGGTGGAGACATAAGATGACTGACCGAGCCTCTCTCCTCACCAGGTCCAGCGGGCGGCGCATGGCCAGGGTGGTACGTGACTTCCTGCAGGCCCAGCAGGTGCAGGCCCCCGTGGAACTCTACTCCGACTGGCTTTCCGTGGGCCACGTGGATGAGTTTCTGAGCTTCGTGCCCACCTCTGACCAAAAGGTGCGTCCCCTGTGTCACCACCCCACAGTGTTCCGGTTGAGTCGCTGCTGCCCCCGCCTGGCCTGATGGGGTGGCTTGGGGCATGGACACTGCAACCAGCTCAGTCCTACGGGATCCGCGTGCCCTGGGACTTAGGCTGCGTTCATCAGGGAGGGCTTCCTGGAGGAAGCCAGGAGATCTGTGCTTCTTGCCGGTGTTTTCAGACCCAGAACACTCAAAGAGTCAGGAATGGCACTGGTAAGAGGGACGAGAATGCCTCAGGCACCTACTCTAAGCCAGACTTACGCACACTTTTAGCCAGGGAGCCCTCCAACAAGCCCATCCTTGCCTCCATTTTACAGGTAAGGAAACCGAGGCTCAGGAGGGTTCTGCGCTCTCTCAGGTCCATACATCCTAGGGGGGCTGGGGAGATTTTAATTAGAATGTGGGCTCTGGTCTCTACATTGACCACAGAATCCCGCTATTGTGTAGAGAGGGAGAGGAAGAAACTGACCCTCAGCCCTCATGGAGAAAACCACCCTGGGGGAGGGGCTTCCTAGTGGCCAGGGATACTGGTCCAGCCAGCTTGGTGAGAGCTCTGATGGGGTCAGTGAGCAGCTGCAGAGGGACACACCTGGATTAGGTGGAAGGGCCTGCAGTTGGGACCCACTTGGGTCGTGGGGGGGGGGGCAGGCAGGGAGGGGGAAAAGAAGCCCAGGGCACGTCTGGCTCCTGAGCTCAGTCCTTGGAGGTCTCTGGCATCTCACAGACCCAGGCTTTGAGCCATTTGTTCCCCTCTGTGGCAGGGCTTCAGGCTGCTCCTGGCCAGCCCCAGCGCCTGCCTCCAGCTGTTCCAGGAGCTGAAGGAGAAGGGCTACGGGGAGGCAGCGCAGTTTGATGGTGAGTGCCAAAGATTCTGTCACCTGTCATCGCTTGGGGATGCTGTCCCTCCGTCACCCTCCCTGGGGTCGTCCCTACTGCCGCCCTGGGACAAGGAGGGAAACCGAGGGGCTAGGGAGTCACCCCAGACACTCCTAGGCTAGACCTCGGGAGAGATGTAGGGGTCCCACCTGGATCCAAATCCTAGCCTCAGCACGTGCTGGGGGTGGAGCCACAGAGGCTGCGCCCTGCCTCTTAGAACCTCCATTCCCTTCTCTGAACTGCAGAGGAAAATCACCCTCCCTGGACGGTCTTAAAGATCAATGAGAATTAAGCTGGCCCCAGCAGGTGTGGGAGGTCAGGGCCGGGAGCTGTGAGGAGCCCTGGGGCTTTTTCTCAGCATCTCTGGCTCTTCTCCCTTCTCCCGTCCTAGCTGCAGTAGGAACCAGCCTTCTAGCGTCCGGCCTTTTCCCTCCCACCTTCCTGCTTGTGTTAGCAGCGCTAGCCTGCACTGCGCTGCTTCAGGCCTGGGGGCTCCAGGCAGTGTCCCTGAACCCACGCCCTGTCTTGTCTGTCTGTCTCTGAACTCACTCACTGCCTGTCCTTCACAGGCCTCAAGCATAAGACAAAGAGAAGCATCAACGATATCTTAGCGGACAAACACCTCAGGAGGGACAGTGTGCACGTGCAGGTGAGGGCAGGACAGTGGTGACCCGGTGGTGGCAGACATGGCCCAGCCTTGGTTTGTCCTGTAGACTTCTGAGGGTGTGGGAGTGAACTTCATCCTCGGGGGGGGGGCTGGCAGACTGTGAGGACAGACCGGGCCACCTTCTGGCCACAGCAGGCGCCTGGCATTGCCTGGCTCTGGGGGTGCAGTTCCTGTCCACAGATGTGAATCCAAAGCCTCACCCTGGAAGTATGAAGGTGAGATTACAGAGACATGGGGTCCTCAGGGGCCCTAAACAGAGAGCAGGTAGGACACGTCCGGGAATGGTTAGCACTCACCAAAGACAGTGCTAGCCCTGTGTGCAATGCTGGGCTCGGCGAAGGCAGGAGGCCTTTGGCCCCTCTTCAACAAGCCAGGGACCTTACCTAGATGGCTGGGGAAGGACAGAAGAATGAGCCCTGGGACAGCATGTTAAAATACAGGGGGGTCATCAAAGAGGCTCAGCAGGTAAATGCTACTGCTGCCTAAGATGCTGAGTTTGATCCCCAGAATTCATAGTGGAAGGAATTAACTGACCTCCACATGGGCCTATGTTGTACACACACACACACACACACACACACCAATTAAAAACTGTAATCAGGGACTAAAGAGAGGATTCTGCAGTTAAGAGCACTGACTGCTCTTCCAGAGGACCCAGGTACAATTCCCGACACCCACATGGCAGCTCACAACCATCTGTAACTCCAGTTCCAGGGGATCTGGTGCCCTCTTTTGACCTCCGTTGACACCAGCCATGCACATAGCACCCAGGCATGCATGCAGGCAAAGCATCCATATACATAAAATAAAAACAACTTTTAAAAATTGTAATCAAGTGACAGGATCCTTTACAACCAAACCTCAACTGTTCCTAGCTCTGTGCAGCTGGGCAGGCTACCCTGAGCCTCAGTTTCCCCACTTCAGACAACCGTGACTCCTTTTGCGCTAAGCCGCTGAGAGTCTCCGAGGCACCCATAGGTGCTCAGGACTGCAAACAGGCTCAGTGCACTCAGAGTCTCCTGTCTGGGCCATGGCTTCCCTTCCCCCTCACACAGGTGCTCAGGGCTGCACACAGGCTCAGTGCACTCAGTCTCCTGTCTGGGCCATGGCTTCTCTCCCCCAGAAATGCATCGACTGGAACCGGGATGTGCTGAAGCGAGAGTTGGGCCTCTCCGAGAGCGACATCGTGGACATCCCACAGCTCTTCTTCCTGAAGGGAGCCTATGCCGAAGCCTTCTTCCCCGACATGGTGAGAGTCCCTGGTGGGTGCAAGAATGGCTGGGTATAGAGGCATGGAGAGGGGATAGCTTGATCAGCAGTTCCTACAGAGGGCAGGTACATGCCCTGGGGCATCTCCGATGACCACAATGAGTTGGTGTTTTTGGTACCCGGTGGGCAACAGCTGGGAGGGCTGTACAGCGGGGAGGCCAGCCCATCCCAAGAGATTTCATTTTCTAAATGGAAAGGCAGATGGGGATGCTTCTGTCCTCTGTCCGGAGGCTGGTCTTCCCCTGTTCCCACCTTAGCCTTCATTTGAGGCTTCCCCGAGGAGCTTCTATGTCGGCCTTCCTGGCAGGCAGAACAAATAGTAGCATGACATGCAGATGAAGCCAAGAGTCTTCAGTCCGGGGGGCGGAGGCTGAGTGATGCTATCAAATTAGCTGGCCCATAGACCCATTTCCTGCCAGGGTGAGGGCTTCTATGAGAGGTGGGCTCTGGAGCAGGAGGTGACCCTCCTTTTCTATGGTGCCTTTAGCCTGAGTGCTTCTCCTGGGACAAGACCAGAGTAGTACTGAGTTAGGGGAAGGGGTGTGCAGGCTGGAGTGAGGGGATGCCTACTTAGTTCCTGACTGTCCCTGAGGTCTAGCCCCCAGACTGGCAGGGTACTGTTCCCCAAAGACAGAAGCTTTCTACCTGAGCTTCCTGCCGCTGGGCACTGCAGGGTGTTTAGGGGTATCCCTGGTCTCCTATAACAACCAATAATATCAGGCAATACCAGGCAGGTAAATCCTTCCTCCTGAACAACACTGCTTGAAGGTGTGCCTCTGCCTTCTGTTAGAGTTTTCCCTGCTGGGCTGAGCACTCGGCACTCTAGAGTGGAACATGGCATCCCCTGAGTCATTGGGATGACATGGTGTGCCACATGTGGCCCGTAGGTGACAACCAGGGACAGGAAGTGATTTTAACCTACCCAGCCATCTGTGGCGAATGGCTTTTGGACACTGGGCTTTGGTTCCCAATGCAGGTGGGCATGGCTGAGGTTAAGGCCCATGACTTTGGGCTGTGACTCTTGACTCCAGGAGCAGAGGCCCGGCCATGGCAGTAAAAGTGGCTTCTTAGCCTTCTCCCTGCCCTTTGACCCCTGGCATTCCCCAGCCCAAGGACTAAGGACAGCTAGGAACAGCAGAGCAAGCTGTGCATTGCACAGGCATCTCCACACTGGCAAGGACAGCTATAGAACAGGCCCGCAGATCTGCACGTATAGTCTCTGTCCGTGACAAACTTGTTACTAGATGACAATTGTCTGAGTGACAGGAGAAAGTATAGGAGGAAGGGGTGACTGTCACTGGTACAGAGCTAACCATACGTGCCTTTAACTAAGGAGCCGTTCGACCACTGAGCTATATCCCAGCACCTCCACCACGCCACACCGCTCTGTGCCTTTTTTTTTTTTTAACATGCTGAGACATGTTTTATTTCTGTGGCCCAGGCTGGCCTCAAAGTCGCCATCTTCCTGTTTATGACTCCCAGATTATAATGGGCACATTCTCCACCCACAGCTCAGATCCTATTTCCTGACCCTTTCCTGGTCCTGGTGAGGATGGGTCAGCAGAGCCAGAGCCCAGAAGGAATTGTGGGTGCAGTACATTCATGGCCAGTGGGGTTCTTCCTCTCTCCTGCAGGTCAACATGGTGGTGCTAGGCAAGTACCTGGGCATTCCCAAGCCTTTTGGCCCCCTCATCAATGGCCGCTGCTGCCTGGAGGAGAAGGTGCGCTCCCTGCTGGAGCCGCTGGGCCTGCACTGCGTCTTTATCGACGACTTCCTGTCTTACCACCAGTTGCTCGGGGAGATTCACTGCGGCACTAACGTGAGAAGAAAACCTTTCAGCTTTCGGTGGTGGAACTCAGTGCTCTGAGCCCGCCCGGCCACCGCCCTTGCTACCCTGTCGATGGGAGTGCCAGGGCAAGGGTGAGGGACACAAACCAGCCTCCTCCGTCCTCCTGGGACCCTGAAACAGGCTGGCTACTGTGGTCAGCTGGACTCCAGGGCGACACCACATTTCTTGGTCTCTGGAGCTGTCTGTCCTGCCCAGGGCGACTACCGCCACTCTTCCCTCTCCTGTCCCCAGCCACAGCTCCCAGAGACGCAAGGTCGGCAGCTGAGCCTGTTAAAGGCATGACCTCTGCAGGCGCACCCCACTTTGAGTTGCTCCCCTCTCTTTGGACTCCTCTCTGGAGCCGGAGAAATGGCTTTGGGGCTGTTTTCAGAATGCCCGCTGTGCCTGGACCCTGGGATGAGAGCACCATGGTTCCATATGACTCCTGGATTATGTAAAATGGAAAGGAAGATTTGGGACATCCTTTTTCTTAAGGGGACCCCAAGCCATGGCTGTTAAGCACCCTTCAGCTGTGTGTAGGCAAGCAAGGACACAAAAGCCCAGAGGCCAGGCCCCTTTCAAAAATGAAAGCAAGCTGGCACCTAAGCCCCTTTAACGCCCTGCTCCATCCACTCCGTCCTCAGGATGCTCGGTAGTTCTTGGGACAGCCTTTAATTAGGAGTCCTGCTACTTCCGTTTGGAAGACGCTGGGGGCTATAGAGAGGCCCTCAGAAGTCTACAAGCAGGGGAGGGATTAGGGAGGCGAGGGCAGGAAGATCCAAACAGGAAGTCAAATGGGCTGTCCATCTTGGGGCAGGGAACCTGGAAGCCTGGGACTCCTGGGGCCTCTGAATCTGAAGGTTGCAGGCTGGTCCAGATGTGACGGGGGTGGGGCTCAAGATGTTAGGAGAGGGTGGGGCAGGCCATTAAGTTACATCTGGAGGTGGGGATTAATTTCCTCTAATAGTCTGTAATTACTCCCCAACCTGCTGCAGGCAGTGGGAGGGGAGGGCTCACACTCCCACAGCAGCCCGGGACCCTGCACAACACTTGCGGTGCCCTAGTAAACCCACTGCAGGCCTGTGACCCCCTCCCGCGGTCGGAGAGACAGCTGCCCTGGAGGCTAATAGTGCAGGGTGAGGTCACAGAGGCCTGTGTAGGCAAGCAGGCAGGCAGACCCGACTGCAGGGCACGGCTGGCAGACAGAGCTGCCTGCCCCCTTCCTCTTCTGGTCAGGGAGTCACACCAGGCTGCCAGTCGCTGGATTCTGTCTTTGCATTTCTAGTAACTTCTGGTGCCACCCCAGGCTTGAGGCAGCTGCGGTTACTTTGTAGTCACTGGACATTCAGTTAGTAAAGTCTCCCATGGAACTGCTAGGGTGGACACGGCCGGGTAAGAATTGACTCCTCTCCCTCTAGAAGGTTCTGTGGAACTGGAACCCCATTTGTAGACTCCCAACATCAACATCCTCCTCCTCTATAGTCATGACCCAGCTGGGGCTGAGCCATGGAGAAGAAGAAGAAAAAGGAGGAGGAAGAGAAAGGTTGGGAGCAGGGCCTGGTCTCTGAGGGGGAGACCGGAGAGCCCTGGCGAACATGGGAGCGAGCCTTCGGAGCCTCATGGGGGGACTCTGGAGTTGCTGCCCGGGCTGTCTGGGGTCCTGGGTGAGTGGGCACCCTCTTTCTGAACAATAAAAAGATCGTGTGCATTCTATAAGTGGCTGTCTCATTTGTCCCTTGACTGACCGCGAGAGGAAAGCGAGGGACCCTGCTTCCCTGCCCTACGCACCTTGCCACAAGTCTGTGGGCTCAGCTTCAGCAGGCCACAGGAGGGCCCTGTCAGCTGAACAGCTTCCTGGGCTGAGGCAGGTGATTACCAGGCAGCAGCTGATTCAAGAGAATGCTGGGCATATGCCCACGTCCACTCTGCTGTCGGTTTGAGATACTATCTGGAAGGAGGGACCTGCCTCTTCCTCTCTCCCCATTCTTTGGCTTTATCTTCATCTGTCTGGGAGGATGAAAAGAGGCAGGGAGGCCCTGGGTCCTGCTAGCAGAGGGGCATGATGTGCCGACAGTTCTGGGGCCAGGACATTGGCCAACGAGATTCTGTAGCCCTGATTCTCAGGCTGAGTTACCAGCTTTGGTGGCTTGATTTCAGGAGCCTGGAGCTACTACCATTTCTTTCCCATGGTGCACGCTTGCTATGACCTCAGACTGTACCCTTTGACACAGGTTTATTTTAACTATTTTTTTTATGGACTAAGAAGCCGTCCACCAATCACTGACATCTAAAAGCCTGAATCAACCATGAGACTGTTTCTAAAGGTTGGGACTGGGCTAACAAGATGGCTCAGTGGGTAAAGGTACTCGGTGTCAACCCTGATGCCCTGAGTGCGATTCCCAGGATCCACATGGTGGAAGGAGAGAACAGATTCCCACAAGTGGGCCTGGGACCTCCATACATGCACCGCGGCATGCATACGGCCACACACTTAAAATAAATTAATACACGCACTATAATAAAATGCAGTTTAAAGACTGGCGCCAGCTGGATGAATTTGACGGCAGGGATCTACTTCCAAAGGGAGACGGAGACTCTGGGCATGAGACTCATCGCGTCCCTAGCGCAGTGCGTTAGCACCCATGCAGGGGGGTTCCCCACCCTTTCCACCCATTCCCCACAGTTAGGGAGACTTTCTCCAGAATTCTGGTGAAGCTGAGCTGGGTGCTGACTACTTTAGGGACTGCCCTTCCCAGATACTGCACTACCACAAAGGGACTGTCACAGGTTCCAAATGTCACCCTCTGACCGGTGCATATGGGAGACCCTGGGAAATAGATCCTGGTCCCTGCCCTGCCCTGGAGGGCAGCAGCCACAGGGAGGAGGGAAGGACGCTAGTCAGCAGTTCTGAGCTCCACAGCCATTATCTCTGCCAGAACAGTCGACTGGGTCACATTTTCTACACATGAGGAAACTGAGGCCCCGGATGAAGAGATGCAACCTCATCAGTACCTGATCCGAAGGAGCCCAAGACTTCTCTTCCCAGAGTCCTTGTTCTTGATATTCCTGACACCTCCCGGCCTCAGTTTCCCTACCTACAAGGGGGCCTCCTGCTCTGATATTTTTGGCTCCTAATGATGACCGATATTCACTTCTGTGTCATTCACCCCCTTGGGAGGATTTGACCTCCACCAGCAATAGCAACAGTAGTCAGAAGAATGAGTGCAGATCCCTGTTAGACCTGCCACCATTGATTCCTCCAGCCTCGCCGCAGCCAGTGCTTACAGGGAAAAAGTGACGCTCAACCAGGAAGCCACTGAGGCAGGGAGGAAGCCCAGTGCTATCTTACAACTCAGGCTTCTAATTAAGAAAGGCGGGGACCAACAAGATGACCCGGCAGGTAAAGGTGCTCGCCAGTATGCATTACAGTTGGGGTTCTACCCTGGAATGCACACAGCGGAAGGAGAAAACCAACTCCTCTGGCCTTCACACACGCACTGTGGCACACATGTGCACAACCTCCTCCATAAATACATCAACGTAAAAATCATATATATATATATATGCATTAGTTATGATATGTTTAAAGAGAGAGAAAAACCAGGCCAGTGGAGCTGGAGATACGGCTCAGTTGGTAGGGTGCCTGCCTAGCATGCGCAAATCTCTCGTTTTGATCCTGAGCACCAGATAAAACCGAGTAGAGCAGTGCACACCTATAATCCCAGCACTTGGGAAGTGGGGGGTCAAAGTTCAAGACCATCTTCAGTCTCATAGTGAGTCTGGGGTATTGGAGACCTTGTCTCAAAAAAAAAAGAAGAAGAAGGAAGGAAGGAAAGAAAAGAAGGAAGGAAGGAAGGAAAGAAAGAAGGAAGGAAGGAAGAGAAAGAAAAAAAGCCAAGAGGTGGTGGTGCACACCTTTAATCCCAGTCCTTGGGACGCAGAGGCAGGCGGATCTCTGAGTTCAAGGCCAGCCTGGTTTACAGAGTGAGTTCCAGGAGAAAACATATCTCAAAAATAAATAAATAAATAAATAAATAAATAAATAAAAATAAACAAATAAAATTTTAAAATTTTTTAAAAAGAAAAAGAAAGATGGAGAGGTGAGTCGGGGGGGCGGGGTGGTGGAGAAGGAGGAAGTAGAGGAGGAAAAGGAGAGAGGAGCAGCATTTCTCCCAGGCTTGCATGAAGAATCCGTTGCCTGCACCAGGTTGGAACAGGCCTGGGAACCTGCACTCTCAGCAGTGTGGAGAAAGGAGAGACAACGGGACCATGAAGGATCAGGGCAAAGACCTACCTGCCCTCCCCCTTCCCCATCCATCCAGATGTGCTGGCCAAGTGCCTGTGGGGACTCGCTTTCTCTCCAGGTAGAAATTAACTCTCTGGGTGCCCTGGGGTGGGAGCCAAGGGTTCATATGCAAATGACAGAGCCCTTCCCGCCAATCCTGAAGAGGGGGTTGGCTATTTGTCCTCTGAGAAGAGGCTGGCCTTCTAGGACTGGAGCCAATGAGCTCGCACCGTGGGTTGGAGGGGTGGGGCTGGGTACTTTTAAGCCACATCCAGGGGGACCTCTGGCTAGTGCTGGGTTTGGTGGCCAAAGCCCCCATCCTAGGCCGGCATGTCTCTGCAGAGGATTGTGCGGGTGTCGCTTGAACACCCTACCAGCGCCGTGTGTGTGGCAGGTGTTGAGACCATCGTGGACATCTATGGGTAAGAGACCCCGGAGGGTCTGGGGTTCTTCGTGCGAATCCCTAGGAGCTGTGTGGGTGTTCCTCGGGGCACAGGGTGGGCCTGGCTGCCTGGTTCCTAGCCTTAACCTTGGAACACCTGCCCACAGGGGAAGCTTGGTTCCTTGCTGTTGTCAGCCAGATTCTCAGTAGGGTTCTTGAACCAGGGAGGTGAGACCTGCAGAACTGAACTCCATCCAGGGCCTTAGAGGGGTCTGGGGCCATGGGCCCATTTCTCTCTTTGGGGGTGCTTGGGAGAGGCTGGGCAGCCTGTCTACAGCCCACAATTGTCCTACAGAGGGCTTATGGGCACGGGAAGAATTAAGTCATTTCTTAAAGGTCACATCATCATGTAGCACTTAAGGTCCCCAGAGCTGGTCAGACTTCTCAAATGCCACCCTGACAAGAGCCCTTCAGTTTAACACTGTCTCACATGGTGCTGGTCACTAAGTGCCGGTGGAGGCACAGAGAGGGTTAGCCCTGGTCACACAGTCACCAAGGAGCAAAGCTGGGCTCGAAGCCCACTGCAGACTTGCTGAAGACTTCACGTCCAGCTGCCCAGCCACGGCAGCGCCGGGGCTTCAGATCCACCATCGCCAGCTCTGCCGCCTACGCACTATGCCTGCTACGTGCCAGGCTGAGCCTTTACACTCCAGGGTGTTTGGGTAGTGGGTGTAGGAACGAGTCTGGCTTCTTAGGCTCTTGAGTCTCAGCTCTGAGACTGAGCTGGGGACAGATTCCAAGGATACTGGGATCATGGTGCCACCTCTCACCTCCCTGCCCCTTCTTGGACTTGACCAGCACTGGGACCCCAGAAAGTCCTTGTGAGATGAAACACGCTGTAACACTGAGGGTCATGTTTGGCCTCCACTGACCAGGGGCCAGCAGTGCTCCAACCCTTTCTGGGTCAGCCAAAAATGTCTCTATTTATTGTCAGAAATGCCTCAGGGACCAAAGTTTCACACCCTTTGAGAACAAATGTCTAGAACTAAAAAGTGGTGTGAACTTGGTTGGAAGCAAAGAGGTTCCAGGTGTGGAGGATAGGGAGTGAGCTGCCAATCACAGGAAATAACAAGTCTGGATGAACTGGGCACCAGGAGCTAAAGCCTGGCTGAGGGTAGGTGGGCTGTGGGCTGTGCAGAGGGGAGTCTGTGGCCTCCGAAGAATCAGGCAGGACAGGAGGGGGTGGATGCTGCCTGGCGCCATGGCCTGCTCTGGGGCTGTGTGCCCATGGAAGTGACTCACTGCCCGGCTGCCTTGTGCCCGGTGGGTAGATAAGTCTCCGGTTTGTCCCGTCCAAGCTGGGGATGGCTCCTCCTCCTCCTCCCCTCAGAGGTGCCTTCAAGGATGGGGGAGGGGTGGGGTGAGAGGCAGGCGGCTAAGGTTGTTGATGTAAATGAGATGGGCAATGGTGAGGACTCACCTGGAAGACTGGGGATGGGACAGCGTGGGTGGTTGCAGGGCTTCCAGGATGTCCGCTCACCCTGATGGCCAATCCCCCTGGGAAATGGCGTACCTCATTTATTCACACACTTAACGTGGCCTTTGAGTAATAGCCCATGCCCAAGCCTGGGGACTCTCAGAAGGGGAAGGCCCCGTTCCTACCTGGGAGAGGAGTTCCAGCGTAGGCCTGGCTGCTGTCCAGTGAAGGCTACAGAAGTATCTTGGAAGGGGAGCAAGACTGGACATCTTGGAGGGCTCTTCCCAAAGCCCTGGCCTGGCCTGCAAGCCAGGAGATGCAGGGTGGTGACTCAGCCCTGACTCTGGTCCTTCCCAGCTGCCTCATCTTAGAACTTTCCCTGTGGACTCTGCTTCTAGCTCTGCAGAGTGGTGGGCACCAGGCTTTTAATGGCCTGCCCTGTGGGCCGGTGATGTAGTGGGCACCAGGCTGTTAGTGGTCTGCACTGTGGATTGATGGTGTGAGTGGACAGCAGGCTATTAGTGGCCTGTGCTGTGGGTCGGTGATGTAGTGGGCACCAACTTTACCCAGATAATCGAGCTTAGCACAGCCAAAGGGTGTAGCTGCTCTCACCACTTCATGGATAAGAAAAGAGAGACCCAGAGAGGTTAACTAACCTGTCCAAGGTCACACAGCCAGTTGGCAGAGAGGTAGGAGGCCGTGTGAACTGTTTGGTCCTTCCTCTGAAGAGACGAGAGGAGGCGGGCATGGCTGGTATGCAGAATATAGAGTACCGAGCCAATGCTGGCGTGCACAAAACACTTTATTATCCTCTCTGTCACCATCCTTATCACCGCCATCTTTTTATGACTCTGTGCTGATCCTAGGGAAAGTCTCGGGTGTTCCCAAACCTGCCGTGTACCGTCTGGCTAGGACACAGCAGGGGATGGAGGAATAGATGCCAGAGGAAACAGCATGACTTGAGCAATCAGAGTGGGCTTCCTGGAGGAGGAGCCTGAAGGCTGAGTCAGGAGAGAGAAGGCTCAGCAGAGTTTGACTGGCCATGTGAGACGCATCCAGGAGCAGTTCCTGAGCAACCAGGGAAGGGAGGCGAGACTCCGGGCCTCATCTGTTCCTCTAGGCAACCGGAGGTGTTGACTCATGTCTATTTCCCACGTGCATGGTGAGGCTCGGGCACAAGGCTGGCCCATTCTATGCTGTGAGGTGCAGGAGCCTCCCGAGGCTCTCACAAGCCTCTCACAAGGACCCTCCTCAGGGCTGAGGTGTGAGGCTGAAACTTCAGCCTCGGAGGCAGAGAAAGAAAGGCTGGCTCACACTGGGAAGAAGAAGGTTCTGGAACAGCTAGCGGGCTTACGGGGGCCACAGTCGCAGGCTGCGATGAGGCGGGGAGACAGGCTGAAAGCAACCGTCAACCATTCATCTACCATGTGACTCACTTCTGGTTGTCTGTCCCCTGGAGCTGCTCAAAGGACTGCGTGTCTGGGAAGCTGTCATCTTCATGACATATCACATATGAGTGTGGAAAGCAGTCCCCAAGCTGGCCCAGTGGCAGCCTCTGGAACTCACCCATCCCTTCTTCTAAACAGGGAAACTGAGGCCTGGTGGGTTAAAGGACTTATGCAGGTATAGGGAAATGAGCTGAGATAGAAACCAGGCCTTGAGACCCAACAGCTCATGACAACTGTGATGGCAAGGTACTGTGGGGTGGTGGGACCTGAGGGCCCCATCCGTGGATGTTCAGGGAGAGAGGCGGGGCTGGTCTGCACACTTGCAGTGGGGCAGTAGCCACAGGTGCCTCTTGGCCTCTCCTGAACCTGCCCAGGCGCCTTGACCTTCAGGTAGATCTCAGTCACTTTTGAGCGAGCCCCAGAAGCAGCTCTGGAAAAGCCAGAGGGTGGGGAATGAACCACGAGTGAGATCCACTAGGAATGTCTCCGTCAACGGGAAGCTGCCCTAGGCTTCCCCGAGAAAGCTGTTCTCTGCTAGCAAGTGTCTTAAGTGACCACACCTGGTGATGAGGTGGCAACCCCTCCTCTCAGCAGCGGAGTGTCTCTATCCCCCCCCCCCCCCCCCCCCCCTCTCTCTCTCTCTCTCTCTCTCTCTCTCTCTCTCTCTCTCTCTCTCTCTCTCTCTCTCTCTCTTTCCATCTTTGAGTCATGTGGGACATCTAAAAAGTACTGCTGGACCGGGTGGTGATGGCGCACACCTTTAATCCCAGAACTTGGAAGGTAGAGGCAAGAGATTGAGAAGCTCCAGGTCCTCCTTGGCTCCATAAATTCAAGGCCAGTGTGTGTGGCTGGGGTGCCTTGCAGTGGGAAAGATCTTACTGTGCTGGAAGTTCCCAGTTTCAGCACCAGCACCTCCCCACCCCCATGCCCCAGTTGCAGTTTGGGTCTCTTCATACACAAATGGAGAAGTTGGTCCTGCTCGTTTGTTGAGCAACTTGGACGCTGCTCCCCTAGGTGGGAGAGCAGACAGCTCATGGCACTGATGAGCTGCCCAGTGGTGCCAGGAAGGAGCCCTGTGCCATCCTGAACCACTGGCTCCTCCTCCCTGGGCCTCAGTTTCCGGGAAGACACCAGAAAGGGTTGTCTTAGTAAGTGCCTTTTGGGGCTGGAGAGATGGCTCTGAGGTTAAGGGCACTGACCTCTTCCAGAGTTCTGAGTCCAATTCCCAGCAACCACATGGTGGCTCACAACCATCTATGATAGGATATCATGCCCTCTTCTGACCTGCAGGCAATGCAGGCAGAACACTGTATATATAATGAATAAATAAATCATCCTTTTTAAAAAAGAAAATAAAAATAAGAAAGAAAAAATTCCTTTTGAGCTCTTCTCTGAGGCCTTAGAGCCTCCTGCACCAACAGCGCAGACTCCTCTGTCCACGTGCAGGCTCCTCTGTCCACGTGCAGACACCTCTGTCCATGTGTAGGCTCCTCTGTCCACGCATAGGCTCCCCTGTCCACTGCAGGCTCTCCTGTCCACGTCCAAACACCTCTTTCCACGCGCAGGCTCCTCTGTCCATGTGCAGGCTCCTCTGTCCACGCACAGGCTCCTCTGTCCATGTGCAGGCTCCTCTGTCCACGTGCAGGCTCCTCTGTCCACGTGCAGGCTTCTCTGTCCATGCACAGGCTCCTCTGTCCACCACAGGCTCCTCTGTCCACGTGTAGGCTCTAATATAGGAGCTCAGAGCACTCAACAAGAAGCGAGTCAGGAGTCTCAGAGCTATTCAGTCTTTGGAGAAGGGTCAGTGTGGCCATCACTGCCCAGGACCAGATCAGGGTGGAGTCAGGATGTGGGGTCAGATGGGCCCAGAGTTTCCTTGGCCTAGTTCTATGAACAAATCTGGCAGGGTAGGGGGATCTGGGGCCCTTATTAATTGAAACTGCCACTCTGAGCCTGTGTTGTTTGAACTGTGGTCTCTGTCCCCACGGGCCAGTGCTGAGGGGACTGTGTCTGTTTTAAACACCAGAATCTCTCATCAGCAGTTTTGTTCTGGAGGCCAGAACCTTAGCCGGAGAGGACGGCATCAGGTCGGCTTGACCTGGGGTTGAGGACAAGACACAGAACGAGGAGCTGTCAACAACTGCTTGACTCTGGACAAGTCACCCGTGAGCCTCAGTTTCCCCAAAGCAAGATGGTAGCGTGCAGCTTCATTTATCAAAGTCACCAGTGTTCTCCTCACGGTGGGCAGGGGACACGAGCACAGAGGAAGAGCTGGCTGAGGGTTCCCGGGACGGGGCAGTCTCGCCCCAAGTCATCCTCGTACCAGCGTTTCTACACAGTCCCTTTGCCACGAGGCTCAGGCATCAGTAGCGTCCTTGGCCATCCCAACACACAGCTTCCGTGCTGGGGCGTCAACCCTGGATGGGGGTCTGAAGTCTTATCTTCGGCCTGGCTCAGTTTCCCTGGCATGTGTTGAGGGATATTTGATGACATTCTGAAACTCTGAGACCATGTTAGTAAAATTAACCTTGGATCAGGGGGAAGAGCCAGTGATTAGCTGACAAGAATTGGTCATAGAGAGGCTGAAGGACCCAGGAATATGGATAGAGAGTCTCACAGGAAGAAGTAGGGAGAGGCTTAGAGATTCTCGGTCTTTTTTTGGTTTGGGATGGGTGGAGAGATGCTCTCTTGCTGGATCTCTGGTCAAAAAGGAAGGTCAGGTGGTTAAAAAAAAAAAAAAAAAAAACTACATTTGGTGTCTTCGGCTGAGTCAGCGCCAAGGACTGGAAATCCCGCCAGGCGGGTGCAGAAGGGAGTTATACTAGATTCAGGTGCTGCCGCTAAGTCGATAGAGAAACAACAGTTCAGACTTTCGTTCTGACTGCTTTACAGCCACGCCCACTCCTTATACCCCCTTGTCATCCCAACTGGATAGAGCCAGCTGCTGAGGAGGCCGTGTCCTATGCTCCAGGTGTGAGCAGTGGGCTGGGATTTGAACCCGGGCTTCCTGACTGCAGGGACCCCCTGGTTTAATCACCTTGCCTCACCACCCCTCTCAAGAACGATTAAGGCGGGAATCAATCCAACACAGTCTAACGTTGACCTCCCGAGGCTCCAGCGTGAAGGAAGCCCCCTTTTCCTCAGCCGCATCTCAAATCACCTCAGCTCACTCTCGGAGCTGTTTCCATCCTCCTCAGCCTGCTCCGAAATTCATCTTAATAGTCCTTCTTTATCCTGGGCAGGGATGTTCCAAGCTTCTCATGGTTATTAATACACTTGAGCCTCCTGATTTCCCAGGAGGCTGGCCAAGTGTGTGTCATTATCCCACTCTCTAGGTGACTCGTCAAGGTCACCTGGCTGAAATGGGACCCTGAGATCGCCAACTACTGCTGATTATGGCCTTGGCACTCCTGAGCCCTTGACTCTGCTGAGAGGCTGCAGTGTGTGCCGGCGGCTGCAGCCACCACCTTTGTGTGTCCCTCCCAGCCAGGCTGTCTCCAGCTTCCCTAGGGACTCCCAGTAACTGACAGGGTGGCCTAGGGAAGCGCTTAGAGGTGCTGAGCTGAGGTGACTGGGGCCTCCGAGCCAAAGGATTTCACATCAGGAAGGTGTCAAGGCACCTTGGCCCTTTCTTTGAACACAAGTCCAAACATGGTGGTGGGCCCCCGCTGTAGAAATCTGGCCAGCTGCCTGGGTTACTGGAAGCCAGCTGCCTCTGAGAATGGGGTGCTCCCTGGGGTGCAAGAGAGAGCCCTTCCTCCTTGGCTCAAGTGACTACCTGTGTTTTTGTTTGTTTGTGGGTTTTTTTTTTTCTGTTTTTTCTGGTTTTTTTTTTTTTTTTTTTTTTTTTTTTTTTTTATTATTTAAATTATTTTGATTTTTATAATTTTTTTTTTTTTTTTTTTTTTTTTTTTAGATTTGAGACAGGGTCTCACTATGTAGTTCTGGCTGTCCTGGAACTAGCTCTGTAGAGGTCCACCTGTCTGCCTCCTGAGTACTGGGATTAAAGGTGTGCACCACTGTGCCCAACTCATGTCTGTCTGATTCCTCCGTCTCTCTGAGTCTTTCTGCTGTGTGTGTGTGTGTGTGTGTGTGTGTGTGTGTGTGTGTGTGATCACCCAAATGAGCCGGATGGTGGTGAGGTATTGGATCTCAACACTTAGGCACAGGAGTGTGAGTGAGTTTGTGTGGTTCCTACCTGGGCTTTACTGCCCAGACCTTGCTGTGAGCGGCCTGAGAAAGGCTTCCCTGGGGGAGGGCATGAGGCTGGAGCTCACATGTTTGTGCGAATTCTTGTCACATTGCCCATGGATCCCCCACTCTTCTCAGGGCGGTTCCTGAGGGCACAGCCATGTTTGAGGTCTACGGGACACCTGGCGTGGACATCTACGTGTCTCCCAGCATGACAAGGGGCCGAGAAAGAGCCGAAACCAGGCGGTGGTGCTTCAACGAGGGGCTGGAGATCATCGTGGTCATGAACTCCCCTAGCAATCACCTCAATGACAGTCATGTGAGTTCACCCCTAGCCCTGCACCCCTTCTTTCTGTAGAGTGCCACAGTTCCAAGGTGGAGTACACAACCTGAGGGTCACATTTCTGGGTGTGGATATCAGTTCTGCAATTTACAAGTCCAGACTTCACACATCTGTGTGTCTATCTGTAGTGTAGGACCACTCTAGTCCTGCTTCCTGGGTGGGTGGGGATGGATCCTGTGTGTCTTCTCCTGCTTAACCAGCCCCCATGAGGGGAGGAGTTAGCGAAGTCCTGCTGTGTTGGACCTCAGTTTCCCCATCTGTAAGGAAGGGCTTGGTAAGGGGGATTCTGCTGTTTTGGAGAGAGGAGAGAGTGGGGATGGGAGGAAACTGGTACCCAGGAGCTCACAGTCCCTGATGGGTCTCACCTCCCTCCCATCCACCCTCTTCCTGTCCCCATTTAAAAGGTAGGAGAGATCTAAAACAGAAGAAATGAGTGGCCCTTGAGCTGGTGGCTGGTGATAGTCCCTTGAATGACTGATTGAAACCAGGGAGACATTCCTGCAAGGGCAGTGTTTTGGGGGAGCTAGCCCTTTAAGGACCACTGATCTTTCTAATTCCTGGATAGCCCATATGTCATGGGATGGCCCCCTCCCCTATATGGGACACCAAGTAGCTCTCAAGGGGCCCATTAAGATAGGGAACAGAAGGATTCCCACACATCTGGCTGCCTCCCTGACTTTTCTTCCCATTTCCCCCTCAGAATGTGGCTTCTGCCCTAGGCTCAGTGAACCCATTTTTCAGAGAAAGAAATAAAGGCTGAGGAGTGTGGTTTCTCTAATGTCACAAGTCCTAGTTAGTAGCTGAGTTGGTGAGGACCACGGAGTCCTTGGGGCTGGGCCATAGGACCTGCCAGGCTGCGGAGGCCCCACCTGGTGCTTTGCAGGTTGAGGCTGTGTGGCTACTCCCAATCCTGAACTCTGGGGTTCATGGGCCAGTAGGCGTGAGGAAGGTGCTCCTCTCCTCCCCACCTGTGAGAAACTGGTGCAGAATTTTGGGACTCCCAGGCTGAGACTTCGGTGGACTCCACAGGGTCCTGACACTATGACCCAGATGAAGGAGGATGTGTCTGCAGGGCATGTCCCAGGGAGAAGAACGGGTCAAAGGGTCAGTGACAGAGCTGCCGTCACCAGCTTCCCAAAATGGTCACCTCCATCCTTACTCTTTATAGCAGCTGGAAGCTGAACCCGGGCCAGCTGTGATGAACCCCCACATTCTCTGTCCCTTTAATCCACCTGACTGTAACCCATTCTATGGGGTAGAAACCATCATTATCCCCCACTTTATGGTTGAGGAAATTGAGGCCCAGAGAAGGTCAGAAACTGACCCAGGAGAGTCACAATGGGCAAATATGAGATCTGAAACCAGGCCACATGGCAGAGCCCATGGGCAGTTTGCTTCCGTGACCAGTGAGTGACAAACACGGTTAGGTCAAATGCGGGGCTCTTGAGTTTTATCACCTGCAAAATGGGGGCCCATGCAGGTCCCAACTTCAAAGGATCTCCAGTTCTGGTCAGAAAGGATGGGGAAACTGAGGCAGCTCAGATAGGCATCGTAAGTTGGCCGAGAGATGCTGGACTCAAGTCCAGGTACTTGTTGGTAAAAGTAGAACCCAGGACAGATGGTGCCCACTTTTACAGACATACCAAGGGATAGGAATAAATGACCTAAGGAGCTTAAAGGGGAGCTGGCACAGTACCAGAGGTAGCTGAGGATCCTGCCCCTGCCCACCAAGTCCCATGGGCCTCTCTGTAAGACATATATGTAACACTGAGCATGTCTCTCTGCAGGTTCAGATAGCCTACCACTCCAGCCGTGAGCAGTTGCCCCTGGCCTATGCGGTACTCTACCTCACCTGTGTGGGTAAGCTGGGCAGGTCTGAGGGTGCGGCCAGGGAGCCCCGTGAGGGCTGCTGATGACCTTCGGTTTTATTTTTATTTTATTTATTTATTTATTTTGGTTTTTCAAGACAAGGTTTCACTATAGCTTTGAACCTGTCCTGGAACTAGCTCTTGTAGACCAGGCTGGCCTCGAACTCACAGAGATCCACCTGCCTCTGCTTCCCAGCTGCTGGGATTAAAGGTGTGCGCCACCACTGCTCAACCTTTATTTTAAAAAAAGTGATTAGAAGCTGGGCACGCAGCTCTTATAGTAGAATACCCTCCGGGCCTTTGCAAACACTTGGGTTTGGTCCCAGAGACATTTGCAGGTGAGTGCGCGCATGCGCGCTCACACACACACACACACACACACACACACACAGAGCAAGTGGTTTTTTTTTTAAATTTTTTAAATTGAAAAAGAAAGCACACATTAGACAATTCAAACATAGGAGATGAAGGGCCGAGGGAGATGGGTAAAGTGCTTGCTGAACAAGAATGAGGAATTGAGCTAGAATCTGCAGCGCCCAGGTAAGAGCAGAGCATGCTGGCCTGTGCTTGTAATCCCAGCATTGGAACCAGAAACAAGAGAACCCTAGAGCTTTTCTGGGTAACCAGGCTAGCAATCATTGAGATCCAGGTTCAGCGAGAGATCCTGTCTTAAAAGATAAGATGGAGGGGCTGGACAGATGCTCAGGGGTTAAGAACACTGGCTGCTATACTCTTCCAGAGATCCCGAATTATCTCCCAGCAAGTACGTGGTAGCTTATGACCATCTATAGTGAGATCCGGTGCCCTCTTCTGGCATGCAGGGAATGCAACCAGAACACTGTATACAATAATAATAATAATAATAATAATAATAATAATAATAATAAATGAATATTTTAAAAAAGATAAAATGGAAGCCAAGTATGATGGCACAAGCCTTTAATCCCACCACTGGGAGGCAGAGGTAGGCAGATCTCCTTGAGTTCCAGGCCAGGCTGATCTACATAACAAGTTCTAGGCTAGCCAGAGCTAACATAGTGAGACCCTGTTTCAAAAACAAAACCAAAAATCACTACAGGCACCCAGCTGTGCACATCAGTCACTGAGGTCAGGTTGGGAATATGGTCAACCCCAGAGCCACCCCACCCAGTGACTCTCACACTGTCTTCTGCTGTGATCCCTTTATCTTCTATACGGCTTATAGCCAAGCACAGGTAGCAAAGCAAGGTAGGCTGTCGGATTTCTGCAGCTGGAATCCCTCCGCATCTGTTCTTCTGTGTGGGGCTGCTTCTACCCCATTCTCATCGCTGTGATTGGTGAATAAGATCACCCGAGTTCTCTTGGGCTCTCTCTCTCTCTCTCTCTCTCTCTCTCTCTCTCTCTCTCTCTCTCTTTCTCTCTCTCTCTCACACACACACACTGTCTCCTTGTAAGCACTGCACTATTAGCACCTTAAGAACCCTCTGGTTTCCAGAGAGGAAGACTGTGTAAACAGCCTGGGATGGGGGGAGAGGCGATGCCAAGGCAGCATTCTTCAGGCTGTGCAGCAAGATGGCCAAGCCCAGCTTCACACCCATGTCCATCCCGAGGAGCTGAAGTAGTTTCATGTAGATGGAGACTGTCCCCAGCCACCTGGGCTTGGTGTCACTGTGCCCCTCCACACTGCAAGGGTTCTGGGGCTTCAGAATGTGTTACCTTCAAGGAAACCTTCCTGCAGGGGCAGTCTTTGGTCCATTCTTTCCTATGACCCTCCTTCCTCCCCAAAGCCCCTCCCCTTGTCCAAGGATGGGATGCTCCAGGGCCCCAACCTGTGGGTGTCTCCTGGGGGATGGCTCTCATCTACCTGGCCCCAGATATTTATCATGGGGACTCACCTGCTGCTGCCTCCCGACAGACATCACCCTGGACTGTGACATGAATTGTGACGGCCGGCAGGACAGGAGCTTCGTGGATAAGGTAGGTTTCTGATTGAGCCTCAGAAACGGGGGCAGCAGGGATGGAGTTCCTGGGCTCCAGGTCAGAGGGGCGAGGCCATATGAGTGTCCCCCTTCCTCCCAGTTGACTCAAGGTTGAGGTAGCCAGACAAGGACCAGGCATGGCTGGAGTCATCAGCAAATGTAACCATAAGTGCTCCCAATCCTGGGCTATCCTTGATTGATGAGGAGAAAGTTCTAGGTTTATAAAATAGGTCAAGGGTTATAAAACCAGATAGATAGATAGATAGATAGATAGATAGATAGATAGATAGATAGATAGACAGACAGAAGCCTTGCCCAGGAGGGGGTGGTACATACCTTTGATCCCAGAGCTCAAGAGGCAGAGGTAGGTGGATCTCTGAGTTCAAGGCCAGCTAGGTCTACAGAGCAAGTTCCAGGACAGCCAGGGCTACACGGAGAAACACAATCCAGCCCCCACCCCACCCCTCGAAAAAACTAACTAAATAAATAAAAGTCAGATTGTAAATGCTTTAGGCCTTGTGACCTATACTACTTTGAAACAGCCAGTTAATGCATAGGCTAATCATGGACTGTGTTCTGATAATACTTTATTGACAAAAATAGGCACTTGAGCTGGTAGGAGGATGAGAGAAGAGTCAAGAAGTTACCCAGGCTGGGCGGTGGTGGCACACACCTTTAATCCCAGCACTCAGGAGGCAGAGGCAGGCGGATCTCTGTGAGTCCAAAGCCAGCCTGGTCTACAAGAACTAGTTCCAGGACAGACTCCAAAGCTACAGAGAAATCCTGTTTCAAAAAACTTAAAAAAAAAAATTACTGGGGCTGGAAAGATGGCTCGGTGGTTAAGAGCATTGCCTGCTCTTCCAAAGGTCCTGAGTTCAATTCCCGGCAACCACATGGTGGCTCACAACCATCTGTAATGAGGTCTGGTGCCCTCTTCTGTTTCCTCTCCCTCTCTAAATGTCCTGTGTGTTTGCTGCAATGTGTGCATCAGATGGAGAAGCCAGCTTCCCCTTGCTTGGCACACACCAGTTCTCCCTTTTTATTTACTCAGCTCCTGTTTCCCNCAGAATACTGTATACATAATAAATAAATAAATATTAAAAAGTTACTCATAAAGAAAGAAGATCATGGAGGGCAGGAGTGCTCCTCTCAACCGGCCATGATGACAGCCTTGTAGATTGGACTTAATAATGTTTCTGGAGCAGAGGTTGCTTTGATGAAAGTAGACTTCTCACAGGATAGAGTGGAGGACCAGGAGGCCGGCCGGAAGTACAGAGTAAGAGGCCTGCCCTGGTCTGGCTGGAGTCCCTGTTGCCAGCTGTGTTTTCTCATTGACAGAGGCAATGGGTGTGGGGGCCTGATGGGTACGGAGCCATCTTGCTGGTGAACTGTGATCGGGATGATGTGGGCTGTAATGCCCAAGATAACTGTGATCAACATGTGAACTGCCTGCAAGGTGAGTGTGCTGGGGCAGCCCAGTCTCTGGGTACCCAGGGGTCCTCTTCAGTTCCCCCACCAGGGTCCCTTCCCCCAGGAGGGGCTCTGAAGGTGGACAGGGGAGGGTCAGAGTTCACCATGAGATTGTTCAGGACACAGCCAGGCTATCCTCATTGTGGTCCCCAGTACTTGTGGCACTCATGCTGGGGCACCCAGTATTCTCCTCCTGTAGGAGAGAAGGGGCTGCTGGTATTGTTTGAGTACCTACTGTGTGCAAGGCCCTTCCCCCAGATCTTTCTTTAATCTTCCAAGGGGGTGAGTGTCATTACCCCAGTTTAAAGAGGAGAGGGCTGAGGCTCACAGGTTAGAAGGGTCCTGCAAATTGCACATCCAGCCCGTGGGCTGCCAACCCCACGTCCAGACCCCTTCCCACTGGATCTCTGACTTGTGTGGGAGTGTGGTCCTGCGTTATGCTCATAGGAGCTGCCTTCTAAAGGAGGCATCCCCTGGAGATGGAAAGGGGATGGCTTGCCCAGTAAGATGCCCAGGTGGCCTTCAACTCTACTCTGGGCATATGAGGATATGTGGACCACAAAGAGGACATGAAGCAGGGCAGTGTCCCATGTGCACAGATGCACAGACACCTCTCTCGCTCACACCAGCAGATTCTAGTATCTCCCTGAGCTGAGACTGGGGTCCCCAGCCCTGGACACCCAGTGCCCTTTGGAGCAGCTGTCAGTCAGCTCCCTCTGTCTCACTTCACAGATCTGGAAGACATGTCCCTCATGGTGCTACGGACCCAGGGACCTGAGGCCCTCTTTGACGACCACAAACTTATCCTCCACACCTCCGGCTGTGATGCGGAGCGGTCACGGGTCTTCCACATGTGTGGTAAGTGCATCCCGGGCACCCAGCCAACCACTTCAGGCAGACGTGCATCTCAGCTCAGGTTCCGGTGATGCTCTGGTAGCAGAGCAATCAGACGTGTGGGCTGGTGTATGTGTGTCTGTACGTACATGAGTGTGGATCCCAGAGGACAGCCTTGGGTATCATTCCTCAGGTACTGTCCTGTTCGTTTTTGAGTCAGAGCCCCTCACCAGCTCTTTAAACATGAGTTTTGGGCACAGGACTTGGGTGGGTTCTCTTGCTTGTACATCAAGCAACTTTACAGATTGAGCCATTGCCCTTGCGGCCTGCAGCCTGCAGAACGGGCTTCTCTACTAGACCCCTGAAGTGGAGGTTTTTGGTTGGTTGGTTTCATTTGGTTCGGTGTTGGTTTTTAGAGAAAGGATTTTTTTCTGTGTAGCCCTCACTGTCCTGGAATTTGCTCTGTAGATCACGCTGGCCTCGTTGAACTTAGAGGTCCTCCTTCTCTGCCTCTGGAGTGCTGGGGTTAAAGGCGTGCACCGCCACCACCCGGTTGAAGTGGAGCTTCTTAATGATTTGCACTTATGTATTTTTAGATTCATTTCTATTTATGTACACGGTGGGGGAAGGGTATTACATACATGTGCCCGTGCTCAGGGAGGCCAGGAGAGGGCATCAGATCCCCTGGAGCTGGAGTTACAGGTGGTTGTGAGCTTTCCAGCATGGGTGCAGAGGATGGAACCCTGAGTCCTCTGCAAGCACAGCAAACACTCTTAAGCACTGAGCTGTCTCTCCAACCCCCTGTCTGCATGTTCTTGTAGGAAAGAGGGCAAGAGGCAGCATGCTGGGTTAGGGTAACATTACCTTGTCTCTCAGAAAAGAGTGTTCTTCCCCACCAAGCCTTCTTTTCTCTTCTCTGGGGGTAGGAGAGGAAGGGCTCCTTTGAAAGGCTGTTTGCTTGCACCGAGGCGAGACTGCTCAACTCTCCTGAGACTTTCACATTCCCTGAGCAGCCCAAGAGCCGCAGCCAATGCTCTTCTCCTAGGTCCCGAGGATTCCTGCGAGTCCTATAGGTGTGTTCTGGGCCCGAACCAGGTGTCCTACGAGGTACCCCGCCTCAACGGTGATGAGGAGCGCTTCTTTGTGGAGGGCCTCTCCTTCCCTGATGCGGGCTTCCCGGGGCTCATCTCCTTCCATGTCACCCTGCTGGATGACTCCAATGAGGTAAGGGTGGCCCCGCAGAGGGCGAGAGAGATGAAGGTTCCTGGCAGATGTGGACATCACCAGAGCTAAAGGCCTCATGCCCCTTCAATATCTTACTGGTCAATCCTCTAGAGAAGTCAGGAACATTTGTTTGTTTTGAGACAGGGTCTCTTGTAGCCCAGTCTTAAGTTCACGCTAATCAAGGATGACCTTGAACTTCTAACCCGGCTGTCTACACCTCCTGAGTGGTAGTATTTTGGGCATACACTGCCATGCCCACTTTTATGCAATGGTAGGGATAGATCCCAGGACTTGGATGCTGGGCAAGCACTCCGCACTCCTCCCTCCAGAGGAGCCACATCTAAAGCCCTAGCCGGGGGATTTCTTGAGGACCCTAGAGGAGGGGCTTCAGAGAACCCGTAGTCTCCTCCGGCTACCACACTTGAGTCCAGCACTCTCTGTCTTGGTCCTCCCGTGAAGGACTTCTCCGAGACCCCAATCTTCACCGATACTGTGGTGTTCCGGGTGGCGCCCTGGATCATGACACCCAGCACCCTGCCGCCCCTGGAGGTGTACGTGTGCCGGTAAGTCTGGGTGGAGTCCTAGCCTTGGCGTCGGCTCTGTTCCTGAGCCCCAGCTCTGAGTTCCTCCTTCCTCCCGGATCGCTCACAGGGTGAGAAATAACACGTGCTTCGTGGAAGCCGTGGAGGAGTTGGCCAGGAAGGCAGGCTGCAAACTCACCATCTGTCCGCAGGCGGAGAATCGGAATGACCGCTGGATCCAGGTAACAGCATCACAGGCTGCCCTGCTAGGATAGCATCCTGCAAGGAAATACCCAAGAGGACCCAGGGTTCTCTGGCTCCAGACATAGAGTCCTAGTTCCAAAAGTTCTCCGACAGGCAGGCCTCTAGGTAAGGTGGCAGAGGCCACACACTCCCAGCCCGCAACGGCTGAGCTGAGAGGCAGTTTGTCCCTCAAGGGGACATTAGGTACCATCTGGAGACGTTGTGGTTGTTGCATGGGGTGGAGGAGAGGGACCAGCCTTTAGCACCTAGAATCCCATCCTGTCGCTAAAAACTCCACTGCCAAGGTAAGCCCCACAGGGAACAGCTGGTCCAAGGTGTCAGCTGCAGTGGGCTGAGAAGCCCCGCTGTGGTAAATGACTGTTTTAGAATCCCTAGAGTCCAGGATATAAGGGGGTACCAGAGTGCCAGAGGGGACTGGAGGAAGCTTTATTGTTTTCTTCTGGGAAAATAATGGATTGGGGGTGGGCTCCAAGGAGCAGGGCTTCTGGTGGAGAGCCATGGGGGAGGATCCTGCGAGGAAAAAAGAAACAGAAGGGAGGGGCCAGGGGCGGGGCTTCTGGTGGAGAGCCATGAGGGAGGATTCAGTGAAGCCCAGGAGAGAGGGTCCAGTGAAGGAGCCCCTGTGTGAGCTGGACTGGGACTGTGGGGAATGTGCGCGGTTGGCCGTCTCCTCAGGCACTTTCCCCTCAGGCCCTGCATAGCGTCATTTCCTCTTCTCTGGCCTCTTGTAATCACACCTGGGTGTTTGCTGATGAGCTCATGCCGCGAACACCCGGCCCCTGTGCTGACAAAGGCTGGAACTTGGATCATCAGGTGGGATGGGATCCGGAGGTCCTGACAGAGGACTAGCGTGTGCCAAGACCCGGAGGCAGGAGGCAGGAGACTGAACCTCATTTGCTCCCTGGGCCAGGGCAGTGGTTCTGGGAAGGGACAAGCGCTGAGGTTTAGTCCCGTGTGTTGAACTCGGGCCATGCTGCTCTCTCCCTCTGTGCCCACCCCGCCCAGCCCCAGCACCGGCACACCCCAAAGTCTGGTTTCTCATTTATTCCTATGTGACTCTCATAGGCAACCCAGCCCCCACCCCCTTCGCTTCGCCGGTTCCCCCACCTCGAAGAGCAGAAAACAACCCACACCTAGGAGCCGCCCTCCCCAAGAGCTCAGTAGCCATAGCCAGCACTTGGGGGTGCCGCTGACTGTCCACATTTATAGCCTCTCTCCCCATCTGCAGGATGAGATGGAGCTGGGCTACGTGCAGGCGCCGCACAAGACTTTGCCCGTGGTCTTTGATTCCCCGAGGAATGGGGAGCTGCAGGATTTTCCTTACAAAAGAATCCTGGTGAGTGGGAGGGGGGCAGTGCAGCCCTGGGGACTGAGAGGACACATCCCCAGGGACACCCAGGGTATACAGGGAACCTGGTCTATAGGAGCGACAGCTGTGTGAAAGAGGGCCGGCGAATTAATTGAAAGAGGCTATTAAGTTTGGTATAAGCCTATCCCACACGTATATGGGATAGACGTACACTAAAGTGCGCATTTATCTGTGCTTCTAATGTGATAGGGTGCTAGGTGTTTTTCTTTGCTGATCAGCGTGGGGGGGTGCACCGCAGGCAAAGCTTTGTGTCATCCACATGCTGTGTGATATTGTCAGACTCACGTCCCTCTCGGCGCCTCTATTTCCTCAGTGGCAGGAACAGCTTCGCAAGCGACTGTCATCATCACGGTGACAGCTGCCTACCAGGAAGGTTCTGTCTGTTCAGGGTACACAGTCTGTGGTCTGTGACTTCCCAACTTGGGCCCCCTTGCACAAGTGACATACAACCAGACCTATCCCATTTCTGACTCAGTATTTCCACCTGAAGAAGGGGAGCTCACTCCCACCCCATCTTTTAGGGACTCAGAGCCTGTCACGTGAATTCAGGCTCTTCCTGGCACCCTGCCCCTGCCTGACTCAGTTTTCCCTACCAGGGTCTAGATTTCGGCTATGTGACTCGGGAACCGCGAGACAACTCCGTGAGTGGCCTGGACTCCTTTGGCAACCTGGAGGTCAGCCCGCCCGTGGTGGCCAATGGGAAGGAGTACCCCTTGGGGAGGATCCTCATTGGGGGCAACCTGCCTGGGTGAGAGGCTCTGGCTGGAACTGGTGCTGCTGGGCGTGGAGAGCACCAGCAGCTCTCCACGTCCTGGGTGGGGTGGGCCACTCTGCAGACTGCCTGCGCTTACCCTGGGAAGTCAGATAGTACCTTCGGAGCAGGCCAGCGTGAGCAGGGACCTAAGATGTCATTAAGTCCAACCCTTCCCTCTATAAGGGGCCCAGAGAGATCGAGTCACACACACACACACACCACATTCTGGTTAGACTGAAGTCTCTGTGACATAAATATGCGGTAGCATGTAAGGTAGCAGCTGGTAACAGAGAAAAACAGCATTTAAGTTAAACCTTGTTCATAAGACGGTGGAAATGACAAACGGTGGGTCTTTTTCTGGAGCAGGAGAGGCGTTAAGTAAAATGTGAGTTGAGATGACAGTAGCCTTAATGTACATACACATGCACACACACATTTGCACACACATGCACACACACATTTGCACACACATGCACACACATTTGCACACACGCGCGCACACACACGGTGTATTCTGCACGTGGTACAGGTTGATGATGGAGAAGGAGATAATAGTCACAGTCAGTCAAGCAAAGCCACTAGAACAGATGACGTCACATAATGGACGAATCCTGAGTCAGCTTAGAGAGAAGACATTGAGACCTCGCTGTAGTTATTTTTCCAGAAGGCAAAAGAAGGATGGATTGTAAATGCTTGAACAGAAAGTACTAGGATGGTACTAGATGGTGAGACCCGCTGGGACGGCCCTGTTGACCTCTCCCGCTGACATCCAGGGAAACTGAGGCTGCCAGAGAAGTATAAACTAACTCAACTATGTGAGAGCCAAGACAAGAGTAGGGATGGCGTGACTCAGTGTCCTGGAGAACGTGGTTCTGAGGACTCCTCACGTGGCTAGCCTGTGCCAAGTGTGGTTGTCAGAACCCACCCTGCGTGGAATATTAAAACATGCCTTATTGTCTTTCCTGCTTATAAAGTAATATGTTGTTTTGAGATTAACGTCTTGCTATGTAGCTCAGGCTGGCCTGGAACTCACTATCTATCCTGGGCTAACTTTGAACTTGCAATCCTCCTGCCTCAACTTCTCAAATGCTAGAATGTTAAGTCTGTGCCACTACGCCTGGGAGCACATTTTGGAGTAAGATGGGGAGAGCTGCCGTCTGGCCATTCTATTTCTTCCTGAGTGTGTGTTTAGTCTGGCATCTTTTCCTAACCCTGGCCCAGGTCGAGAGGCCGCAGAGTCACCCAGGTAGTGCGAAACTTCCTCCATGCCCAGAAGGTGCAACCTCTGGTGGAGCTCTTTGTGGACTGGCTGGCTGTGGGCCATGTGGATGAGTTTCTGAGCTTTGTCCCTGCCCCAGACAGGAAGGTAAGGACTTGTGGACACATCTTGGCAGCCTTGAGAGTTTGGGGCTGAGGCTGGGCTGGAGCTGGTGGGTATGTAAGGCCATGAATTCAGCTGTACCTGCTCTTTACACACAGGGCTTCCGGCTCCTCCTGGCCAGCCCCGCTGCCTGCTTCAGGCTGTTCCAGGAAAAACAGAAGTGGGGCCATGGCAGGTCCCTCCTTTTTGAGGGGGTCATTGGTGAGTAAAGACGTCAAGTCCCCCCAAAACAGCATTGTCTCCTGAATTGAGCACCCCATGATTTCAGAAAGGAATGAGCATTTTAAAGCCAAGTGGTACCCCCAAAATTCAGGAATGTTTCCTCATGACGACACTGCCTGTGTGGGGGCAGGGCTAAGATGGGCACAGGGCAGAGGGTATGGAGAGGAAGGTGAGGGCCAGGTGTGCCCAGGGATGTCCCATCATGCCTCCACTTGGAAGGTCCCAGAGCCCAGGTTTAGCGCTCTTTGGTCACTGGTTTGATTTTAAATGAAGTCTGACAGGTCTGCAAAGCTGCTGGCGCCCCAGAGCCTCCACCAGTGGCCTCTGTCTCTCGGAGGAGCTCTCTGCCGCCCTCTACTCTGCTTCTGAAGCCCAAGCTACCATGCCTTCTTTCCCTGGTCATCATGGAATGGAGTTGCACCCTCACCTGCAACAGGGCCTGGGTTTGGGGGGGCAGGGAGGACAACCCATAGCCTGGCATCTACTGCCCTTGCTCTTCAGGGGCAGCCAAAGGGCACCTTGGTGGGAGGAGCCCCTTGCCGGCACATCTTTGTCAGGAGGCTGTGGTAGTCTGGCCACCCCCAGTGGTGGCTGCTTGAGGTGGTGAGCCTGTGGCAAGGGAGGTGCCTGGCTCAGTGAGTCACCCCATGCCAGCGGAGTGTGTCTCTCATGCAACCACATCAGAGCCAGGCCTCAGGGTTGTGAAGGGCCACACTGCCCCCACAGATACCCTGTCGATTAGCAATTTTTGGACACTATGATGAGTCAAGAGAGACTGTGGAAGGAGTGTTTTCTACTCCCGTGTGTTTAGCAAGCTTTTCCTCACCCCGTTTTCGAATGAGGATCCTGTGCTCTCATTATTCAAAATCGAACCGTTTAATTGGGCAGGGCTGGCTGGACTGTAGCAGGGCATGGTGCAGGTGCAGGCCTGGAACCCCAGCACTCAGGATGGAGTCAGGGTGACAGGAGTGAGGCTAGCCTGTGCTACCTAGTGAGACCCTGGCTCAGTATACCAAAAACAAATAACATCAAAGAAAGATCTTTTGGGCACTAAAGTCCTACATTTTCTCGGCCACGTGGGACATAGAAAATATCCTGGACCAAATCTGCTTCCAGGTCCCCTGCTTGGTTTGTTAGGTCTCCCTGCTCCGAGCACTGGGGCCCAGAAAATAAAACAGCGACTGTTTTCCCTAAGCCATTGCTCCAGAGGGACCCTAGTGAGATTTCTCTGAACCCAAATTCAATCTTAAAAAAAAAAAAAAAAAAAAAAAAAAAAAAAAAAAAAAAAAAACCTTAGCTGGGCAGTGGTGGTGTATGCCTTTAATCCCAGCACTCAGGAGGCAGAGGCAGGCAGACCTCTGAGTTTGAGGCCAGCCTGGTCTAAGAGAGCTAGTTCCAGGACAGGCTCTAAAGCTACAGAGAAACGTTGTCTTGAAAAAACCAAAAAACAAACAAACAAAAAACAAAAAATACCCTGAACAGTAGGTGGACCAGAGTTAGTCCAACCTGCCCAGATGGGAAGATAAGCCATGTGCAGCAGCCACACCCCCCAATTGCAGACACACCAGGCCAGGCTGCTGTGGCTTATTCAGAGCCTAGGAGTGTCAGGCCTAGGTTTGGGGTATCACAGACATTATCCTGATGATCCTGACAGGCCCTGGGGTTGGGGTGGGGTGGGGCGCTGAGTGGAATCTGCTGTTAGTTGAGGCTCAGAGGGAGGAGGTGCTGGCCCCAGGGCCTCACAAAAAATGCCACAGAGCTGGCCTGTAATAAGACTGTCTGCCTCCAGGTGGGGACATGGGACCTACAGCTATGTGTGTAGGTCAGAGGAGCCCTCTTCTGCCCCTCCACGCCCTCGGATACTCATGGCTGGCATCCCTAGTTTTCCCAGGTTAAACGAGGGTCTAGAAGTCCCTTAGGAGCACCTGGCTCCCAGGGCTCCCCAAGCCCTTATAATAGGACCTTAGGTAAGTCACCTGAGCACCTGGAGCCTCAGTTCCCTTGTCAGTCAGGTGGCGGTAATGACGCGTCCCTTGCAGAGTACAGAGGAATGAGGCACTGACCACAAGGAGCTTCCTTTCAGCCTCACGATCAGGGTTTGGTAAGCTGGCAGCTGGGGGGGGGGGCTGCAAACTCTGCTCCCCTGACCAGTTCTGTCTCCATGGCCTCCACTGGGCGGGAAGAAAAGCTAGGCCTGAAGTCGCTCCTAAAAAGCAAGCCAAAACCTGTTGGTTTGGACTCCTAGCCTGTTGGGACTGGCTGGTTCACTGCCTAGAGAACCCATAAACCCCAGCCCTGGGGTGAGGGCCAGCAACAGAGCCAGCTTCTCCCCCAGGAGCTGGAGGAAGAGGAACCACTACCGGGTGCCCAGGTTAGTCCCAATTAGTCATTACCACCTTCAATGAAGTCAAGTAAAACTCTGCAGTTTGTTACCCCCTGGCAACCAGACTCCGCCAATGCCTCTTCTTCCTCCAGATGTGCAGATTAGCTAGGCTAAGCTTTCGCAAATGCTGCCCACCCCTTGTTCAGGCGACTCTAGGAGCCGTTGACTCAACCATACCAGTAGCTATGAACTTGGCCTCTGGACTCCAGAGCTGGAGGCCCTCATACTGCCTTGCGCTAGTACCCCCAGGCCTCTTTGTCTCTTTCGTAGGCGACAGGCGGGTCAAGACCATCTCCATCAATCAGGTGCTTTCCAACCAGAACCTTATCAACTTTAATAAGTTTGCACAGGTACAAAGGCCGTGGGGCTGTAGGTGGAATGTGGGTGTGGACAGGACTGGAGTCAGAGCCAGGGCAGACATCTGGGACCCACAGTTCACAAAAGGTCAGTCAGGTTGAAACAGGCCCAGACCCTCCTTTAACCTGGGGGAAGGCTGTGAGCCCTGTGCATCTGAGAAATACAAGCAGGGCCATGAGCACACAGAGCTGTAAGCAATGAGAAAGATACAGCTCAACCCCCAGGAAGAATGTCAGCGTCTACAGCAAGTGTGGCCTGTTACATCCCTGAAGTTGGGACCTTGTGAAGACACAGTGAAGAGGCTAGGATAAGTCAGTGGGCAAAGGCACTGCAGCCTACCAGGCCAGAGGGCAGCCTTCAAGGTGGGGGGGGGCAGCAAAGGTGGTAAGAAGGGGACAGATGGAGACAGATGGAGATGGGACTGTTAGGTGTGGACTGAAAGAAAAGGAGACATGGGAATAACAGCAAGGCTTGTGGCCCCAAGAGCCCAGTGTAGGGTGACCTGGGGATCTGATGCCCTCTTCTGGCCTCCAAGGGTACTGCATCCAGGTATACACACACACACACACACACACACACACACACACACACACACTTAAAGACAACAGAAATCTTAAACCATATATTGAATGAGATCACCTAAGTTGGGGTCTAGGATGGAGTGTTCTCAGTGTTTGCTCAGACAGAGGAGCAGGACATGGGAGGGAGGTTTCTAGGCTGGTGGGTACTTGCACACCTGTCTCAGCCACACTGGCAAGGTCTCTCCAGTTTCGTCCCTTGCCAACCCGCAGAGCTGTATTGACTGGAACCGCGAGGTGCTGAAGAGGGAGCTGGGCCTCTCTGACTGCGACATCATTGATATCCCACAGCTCTTCAAGACAGAGAGAAGGAAGGCTGTGGCTTTCTTCCCCGACTTGGTGAGTTCCCCACCTGGGCATCCTCAGATGAGCTCTGAGACTCAGTTCTAGGGGAAGACATTCGATTGCCTTCATCTGTGGAACTGTGGTGACCAACATGTGGTGGTGAGGGGAATCGGGGGTCCCATGACGCCCAGGCTGACACTGTGGCTTCCTGTGGCCGCCCATGAAGGATGAGGCCTCGTTCACATCTATGGCATGAGTAAAAGTTACATAGAATCATGTGTGCAGGCACATGACTTCACCCAGGAGCTGAGGGGTCATGCCCAATTCGGCTGACATCACCCCACACAGAAGCAGATGTCCCATGGGGAATAGAGATGGTTAAGAGTTGTCTCTGTCCTCCATTGAGGGGAAACTCTCCTCACTGCTCTGAGGGCATCTAAAAACCACCTACTCTGTATGGTGAAGGGTTAAGTGGTCAGACCACAAATGAGACAAAGTGCAACCACTCTGAGATATGAGTGGAGATACCAGACGTATTCCTGGAAAACATGCCTTTGATGGAACTGTAGCCTTAGCTCTGCTGTCTCTGAGCTTTGAGTGTGCATCTCAAACCCCCAACGCCTAAAGTTCCCCTCAAATGTCCTGATTGAGCAGATCTGATGAAGGCTCAGAGAGTGTGTCTGCCTTCTAAAACACCTCCAGGGGACAATCTGCTAACCCCAGGCACAAGCTGGGCTCTTATACACAAGTCTCAAAGCCTGTATCCATTAACCCTAACCTATCCAAACCCTAACCCTAACAGTAACTCCAAACAAACACTAACCCTACCAAAACATTAACAATAACCCAGCCCTAACCCCAACCCTAACCCAAACTGTAACCCAAACCATAACCCTAACACTAACCCTAACACAACCCTAGCTTTAACCCTAACCCAAACCGTAACCCAAACCATAACCCTAACACTAACACTAACCCAACCCTAGCCTTAACCCTAACCCAGCCCTAACCCTGACCCAGTCCTCTTTTCCGTCCCTCCCTGCCTTTTTGCCCTTGCTTGCAACGCCTTTCTCCGCTCCCCTTCCTTCCTGCATGCTTGGGGAGGCCTTGTTATTAGTCCACGTGTTCCCGGAAGCTTGTGCAAGGGTTGAGGTTCTTGTGCTGGCTAGAAGCAGAGGCCCACCCAAGCTGGCTCCGATGGAGATTTGACACAAGAACACTATGACATCTGAGGGTGGGGACGGTGACAGGAAGCCCTCAGCGTGGCCTCTCGTTTCTGTGTCCACATCACTGCTTCTGCTTGTTTCCCCGTCGCTGCCCCCCCTTTGCTGCTCTGCAGCCAGATAGAGACGCTGCCCCCTCTCCTTCGCTGCTCTGCAGGCAATTACAGACATCTTTGTTTCTTTGCTACCGTTGTGATAAAACACCACGACCAAGGCAATGTAGAGAAGACAACATTTAATGGGGGCTTACAGTTTTAGAGGGGGAATCCCTGACCTTCACGACAAGGCACAAGACAGCAGGCGGACAGGCATGGCGCTGGAGCAGCAACTGACAGCTTACATCTGATCCATGAGTGCAAGGCAGATAGAGTTAACTGGGAATGGCGTGGGCTTTTTGGAACCTGTCCCGAGACTGTATTTCTTAATTCTTCCCAAACAGTGCTGCTAGCTGGGGACCAGGCCTTCCTACAGATGAGGCTATGGGGGCCATTCTCATTCAAACCACCATGATGAACATGGCCATGAGATTCAGGACCTGTCTAGGCAAAGACTGAGACTCTCCCCATGTCAACTCTAACTTTCTGGGAGAGAGAATCTGATTGGCTCATCTTGGTCAGCTGTTTAACTTAGTCCAACAGAGATAGCCTAGGAGGTAGGGGGTTCTGTGTGCAAACGTGACAGCCACCACAGTTCACCAACGAGGAAGGGAGTGGCCGGGGACATGGCAGGACTGGGCTCTGCAGATCTGCGGGTGTTGGATTCACTGGCTCTCTCCAGCCCCCACCACACAGGAATGAGAGAGCAGATACGTTCAAGGCTGCATGGAGATAACCCCAGGCTCTCCTGGGGCTTCCAGGGTGGGAAGGTGATGTTGAAGTCTCACCTTTGATCTGGGACCACTCTGGCTCCGCAGGTGAACATGCTGGTGCTGGGCAAGCACCTGGGCATCCCCAAGCCCTTCGGGCCCATCATCAATGGCCGCTGCTGCCTAGAGGAGAAGGTGCGCTCCCTGCTGGAGCCGCTGGGCCTCCACTGCACCTTCATCGATGACTTCACGCCGTACCACATGCTGCACGGGGAGGTTCACTGTGGCACCAATGTGCGCCGGGAGCCCTTCGCCTTCAAGTGGTGGCACATGGTGCCCTGAGCCACTGCCCATTCTCCATCCTTCCCCTGGGATGGGGCATCCGCCCAGGCCGTGGAGACTGAGACAGACCCCTGAGCAACAAGCACCAAGAGACTCTCAGTTTCTAGAACGGAATGCCCAGGGTGCCCCATTCCCCTCAGAAGCCTTTCCTCTTGAAGCGCCTGCATTTATCTGCAGCCCGTTCAGTTCCCAGGCATGAGTCCTCTTGGTGCTCCCCAAAGAAAGGCCTTGTATTAATGGACTCTCATGTAGACCAACATGACCATGGGACGCTCCTAAGTACCATTTACACACAGCCCCAAACTTCTCTGTGGGTAAATCCACTTGAGAGTCTGGAAGGATGGGTACATTATCTCATCAGCCACTCGGCTTGTGCTTCCTATGATGGAAGGCCCCGGGGATTTTGTTCCGGCTGATAGCCTCCACCCTATAAGGGATGGTTGTGAAATCAGACTATTCCACATAAGCAAGAGAGAATCTACCCACCCCACCCCCTAGGAAGTACCTAGGGGTCCATTTAGGGTCAAAGTGTAACCATTATTCCCACTGCAAGTTCCTGGCCAGGACCCGCCTCTGTCCCACCCAGCTTGAGCTGTCACAGTGGGTGCCTCTGTGAGCCTGTTGTCACACAGCGGGTGCCTGTAGATGCTTTGGGAATGGCAGGTATCACTTTTTAGCTTAACACGCTCCCATCATTCGACGTTTGAGAACCTGGCTGTCCAGATCCTCTGGGAGGTGAAGTGATTGGAGGGCTATTGAAGCTTAGGAAGACTGGCTTCTAGGTGAAGAACATCTTTCCTAAGACACAGATTGACTGTGAGGGGGATGGTCAACTGGCCTGGGGGCTCTGTGCAGGAGAAGAGATCACTGACACCTTCTACCCATACCCCCATCCTGCAGGAGAGCCTGAGGGAGCTCCACCCCAGAGGCCACCAAGGCAGGACTCATTGGGACAGCTGAACCTCTCCACATCCAGGGAGAGGGGAGGGGTTTGGTTGTCTCGAGATGTGTGGGTCCAGCCGGCCAATAAATCAGCAGAAGCGCAAATGCCCTGGGTCTCATCTCGGCCTTTCTTTGGAGATTAAATTGAGGGGGTTCCGTGAAGCTGAGGCATTTGCTTGCCTGGCTACTCCTCTGGAATTTGACGCTCGATGACCCCCAATGTGGGTAACATGGTGAGATGCTTTGTCTGGGCTACAGGATGACTGGGAGCTCTGGAGCACCTCGAAGACACAGATGAGACAGATCAAGCCTAAGGGTGGGATGCTGGACTCAGGGACTGAGCAAGCAGCCAGGGACCAGGTCCACTGTGCCTGGGACAGGAGTCTGAGTGCTTGGAAGTGCCAGTTGCAAAGGGACAGAGACACAACTCCACATGGGCACCCACAATAGCCTGAAGAATCCCCCTAGATTTTAAGGATCAAACTGGGATCCGTGGCTTTGGTGCAGGTCGGAATTTCAGAAGTAGACAGTGTAAAGGGGAGTTTGAGGTTTTATCAAAGGTAACCTTTGAAAAAGCTGAAAACACAAGGTGCGGAGAAACGGGGGGCCTCAGAAAGGCGCCCCAGGGCTGAGGAAATGGCTCCACAGTTTAAGAGCACTTACTGCTATCCCAGAGGACCAGAGTTTAACTCACAGCGCCTCCCCATCCCCCGCTCCCCATCTAGTAACTCTGGCTCCAGGGGTTCTGCAGCGCACAACTGCCTGTCTGCACTCTATGCGCTACCAAACAGTTCGCGAGCTTCAGGCAAGGGGCTGGAGGTTGAAACATACAAAGACACACAGTCAGAGAGACAGGGACACAGACCTCTAGTTACTGGTAAAAAGCCCTTTATTCAATAGCACCACGGAGGCTTAGATACCCAACAGTCAGGTGGGCCAACAGGTGAAAACCCCATCCTCTGATCCTCAAGGCAAGGCAACACGTGCTCGTGAAGCAGAGCTGGTAAACAACTTTGACACAGCTTTCAGTAACTCAAATCAGAAGGAAAGTAAAGATCTTCAGCAGGGAAGAGCAGCTGGAGGCCAGGACTCCAAATGGTCCAAACAGGGTTCTCACTCCCCCTCCTGGCTTCTGTGGACCCCTGTGCACACCTGCACAGATACACACACATACATATATTTGATTTTTGATTCTTGAGACAGGGTTTCTCTGTGTGTAATCGCCCTGGCTGCCCTGAAACTCACTCTGTACAACAAGCTGGCCTTGATCTCACCGAGATCCGCTCTGCCTCTCGAGTGCTGGGATTAAAGGCACGCAACACCACCACCTGGCTTACATACTTACTTTCTTAAAGAGCTAAAAGACACCCAAAAGCATGGGTGTGGCTACGGGCCTCCAAGGAAGTGACATAGTGAGTGAGATGTCCCCAAGTGTGGTATGGGCAGTTCCCGAGAGAGCAGCAATTCATTGTCTTAGCGGCAGAAATGAGACAGCACAGCTGGGCAGGAAAGAGAAGCTGGGGTGGGGGTGGGGGGTGACCTTATCTCAGACGGAGACAGCCAGACAGCTGCCTAACTAGCAGGAGGCTTCCCAGTGACCTCTGGACCGACAGGAACGCAGACATGGGGCCCACAGCCTGTAAAGTCTCCCCCAAAGCTGTACATTTCCCCCAGAACCGGACTTGTAAAAGGCCCTGAGTCACCGAGGTAATAATGATGGCTGCCTGCCTGCCACCCTGCTTTCCTCACGTTCCGGTTCCTCCGTGAAACGGATCCCCCCCTCCACCCCTCCCCCGGTCTGTTTCTCCCACCTCACCCCACACCCATCCAACTCAGCCAAACAGGAATCTCTGAACTCAATCTCTAGTTAGGCTCAGGTCCTGTGGGCAGGGGCAGGGGGATGGGGACAGGTGGGGGGAATGGGGGGGAGCGTGGACCACGAGGTAGGGCTGGCAACACGCCTTCAAGTCCTTTCAAGTCCTTTCCCCTGTGGGAAGCTGGTTTCCAATTCAATAAAACCTTGCTTGCTTTTTACTATCCTAGCTCATCTAGGGATCCACAGACCTGAGGGCGTCTGGCTTGGAGAGACTTGAATGGTCCTTGGGCTTCTGGGACCCTTGTTCTCTGGGCTAAGCCCATCTGAGCCAGGTAATAGGTTCCACTGTTCTGCTCTCGGGGATCACAGAAACAAACATTAGTGTTATCTACGTACATTTCTCTCTCATGATGAATGAGATTGTGGTGTGTCTGTGGAGAGGCCTTGGCTGGGGCTATCACAAGTGAGGTAAGCCTAGAGCCAGGGTTGCACAAGTATGTGCTCCTTCCCTGAAAATAGGGTTTCTGGCGAGATTCCTAGGTTTAAATTGTAGGTTCATAATTGGTAAAGGCAGAAAGGTGAGGGGCTCCTTTACGTCCCCACAATTTTTCTTGTCTTTCTATCCTGCCTCAGAGATGTGCTCTGCATTACTGGGTCTGGTTAGACATGCATGAGGTACCTACAAACCAAAAAAAAAAATGAAATTTCTTTCAGCATTGAGTGCAGTTCCTGGGGTCCATCCTTTCAAATCCTGCTAGAATACATATTGTAATATTAAGTTGGGGGAATCACCCCAGCCCCTGGCAGTCACCCTTGGGGTGCCAATGGAGCGAGGAGCTCCATCTCAGGCCTCCTCCCCCAGAAGTTGCCTTGGGCCAGACTCCACCTCTGGACTCCAACTCCCAGCCAGCCAAGCGCTGACCCCTCCCAGGGGAGGGTCAGGACCACACCCACAGGGTATTTAGGCTGCCGTTTGTGCTCTCCCACTGTCTTCCGTCTGCCTTGCTCCTGGCCACCCCAGAGTGTGGCATTCCTTAAATGTGGGCATTTTTGATTTGGTCTAATCTGGTTTGATTGGAGCTTTTTGCGTCAGCAGAGAGGCTCTCCTTAAGATTTTTCCTATCAGATGGAGGCGGAGTTCATCCTTTCAAATCCTGCTAGAATACATATGAAGCTCTCATGAAGCTCTCTGACTTTATAGAAAGGTGGGGTGATAGCTCCAGGGTCGGATACAAAAGAGGAGTATGGGGGACGGATTCACCTCAAAGGCCAGCTGCTCCAGCAGAAACGTTAGAAGACATGATAAACATGCCTCTCCTGCCCAAGTCTGCAGTCGAAGGAGGTTCGGGGGTGAGGGGGATGGTTTAGCCGGTCTAGGCACTTGCTGTACATGCCTGGTAAACTGAGTCGATCACTGGAACCCACATCAAAGTGGAGAGAACTCACTCCACAGAGTCGTCCTCTGGCCTCGGTCTTCACACTGTGGTCTATGCCCCACCCACACGGATGCTACTAAATCGTGTGGTTAGATCTGAATAGTGAGCACATTGTGTCAGGGTCGGGTGAGACAGCTTCACTCCACACTGCCCTTTGGAGACCCAGACTGATGACGGTCTTCCAAGTGTGGATTCCAAAATCACCTTGAACTTGACCCTGAGAAGACAGAAAGGAGAAGACAGAAGGCAAACCTTCTTGTTGACCACCTCGGATCAGAAGGGGTGTGCAACCTTGCCAGTGGCAGGAGATGAACACACTGTGCTGCAAACAGGTACTGCCACGTGGTAGAGCGTAGATAGGAAATATGGGTTAATTCAAGTTGAAAGAGCTAGTACGTAACAAGCCTAAGCTATTGGCTGAGGATTTATAATTAATAAGAAATCTCTGTGTTTATTTGGAGAGCCATCAGTCCTGATTTAAAAAAAAAAACCTCTAAACAAATACATTTAAAGGAAGAAAAAAGAAAAGTCTAAGCACTTGAAGACAGACATGGGCATCCGTCTGGGGAGGCAGAGCTTGAAGACAACTCTGAGCCTGAGATTTAAATTTCAGTCTCACTTCAGGACCCTGAAGATGGACTTGAAAGGGTCACCCTATCGCTTTGTCCCTTCCCAATGTGGCCACTTTGACTAAATCTCCTTTTTCTGCTCTTTGCTATTTATGTGGTTGTTTTGATTGACTTCTTAAGATCGGGTAGCTCAGCCTCATCTAGGGTCACAGACTATGACCCCGAATTCAGTAACAATAACATCCCAAAGAAGCCAAGGCCTGAATGCTTGAGACCTGGGAGACAATGTACCTGCCAGGGATGGGAGGACAGTGCGCCAACAGCCAGCTGCTGCCACTGGGAGAGCAGGGACACAGTCCAGGGTCGTGAGCGGGTGCCATGGCTACGCATGGCGTCTGTAACTACCGGAAGCTTGAGTGACAGCTGAAGATGATGAGTGGCCCTGCTTCGTTGCTGGGGAGCTTAGTGAGCTCTGGAAGACAGGGAATGGAAGCACTGCAGAGCTAGCAGTAGCCAAGGAACCCGGGGCAGCCCTGACCACACCTGGCCACTGGGCGACCCAGCCCTGCCTGGCAGCTTTCCGCTGGGTGTGATTCCACCGGACAGATAAACACATCCGGGAAGAGAACGGCCCACGCACGGCTGAGGAAAGTGCAGGTGTCTGTGTTATTTTAAACCCGCCCCAGGTTCAAGTTCGAATGCCAGTGTTATTTCTGAAGGCAGCTCAGTCCTTGCGTTGCTGCTGGAGAGATGTGATCGCAGTCCTGACAGCAAAGCACAGCGGTGACAACTCTTCAAAGCCGCCAGATGCCTGCAAGGCCCGTCCTAACGCCGATGCCCAGCATCCGTAGTATCTGTCCATCTCACCAGCAATGACATCCATCGCAAATGACACCGTGGAAACAGAAACCACGCAAACAGGGCCAGGGCAGCGAAGACCAGGAGCGGGCTCAGGGAGGCGTGGTTTGATGGGATCATTTGGAATGCAAGCGTCTGCCTCTGCCCTCTTACTTCCGTGGGTGTTGACGAGTAAATCAGTATTTGGAAGCTCTGCTAGACCATCATTAGACGAAAAGAGTCTAAGTGTCCAGCAACAGGGACAGGCTGAGAAAACGACAAAAAGACAGTTCCCTATGTGAGGAGATGGATGCGTTAGTTAGCTTGATTGTGGCCACCATTTGACAATAGCTGTCTTGAGTCAGCAAGACGGCTTGGTGGGTAAGGGAGCTTGCCGCCAAGGCTGACGACCCGAGTTGATCCCCAGAACCTATGTAAAGGTGCAAGGGGAGAACGGATCCATAAATCTGTCCTTTGATCTCCATGCATTGCCCTCATCACATAATAATAATACTACTAGTAGTAGTAACGATGATGATAATTTAACAACAACAAAAACATCCTCCAGTCCACTGTGCATCTTAATTAAATACATACACCTCTCAGTAACCAGTGGGCAAAGCCAGGGGAGAGGGCTCGCTCAGTAAAATGCTTGCCTTGCAAGCATGAGGACAGGACCTGAGTTTGGATTCCCCGCATCCACATAAAAAATCCAGGTGTCGCAGCCTGGCCTGTGATCCCAGGACTGAGGAGTGGGAGGCAAGGGGATACGTAGGGCTTGCTGGCCAGCAAATCTAGCCAGTCAGCATGGGTTCAATGAGAGACCCTGCCTCAAAGAATAAAGTGGAGAGCATCAAGGAAGGCACCCAACATTGCCCTGTGGCTTCTACCCACGTACACACAGTCTCATACACGTGTGCACACAGATACAGAAAACATACACAAGGCCAGGGGTGGAGGCACATGCTTGAATCCCGGCATTGAAGAGGCAGAGAGACATTCTGGGGCTCCTCAGAAGCCGGCAGAGCATGCTTAGTGGATTCCAACCAATGAGAAAACCTGTCTCAAAAATCAAGTTGGGGACCAGAGAGATGGTCCCAAGGGTGTTTGCCACAAAGCCCGGGGACCTGATTTGGGTCCCCAGGACTCATATGATGGACAAACAGAAGTGACCCTTACTGTGTCACTATACCACAGCTGTGCTGGCTCTTCCCAGGGACCAGTCATAGAGTCACATTGTCATCAGCCCCCTCAAGTCTCATCAAAGGCCACCTGCTCTGCTGGCCCCATTTAAAAAGAGAGACGGAGGGTGAGAGAAGGACAAAGCGAGGGAGCTATTCCAGGAGAGACTTTGGGTACATTCTTCTCCTCCCGCTGACTTGCTGTGTGACCGTGGGCCTAACAATAATACATGCACAGAATGAAGGCCGGATCTTGTGTTCCCCAAGGGAACATGAGAAACACAGACTCTTAATCACATGACCAGCCTGAAAGACTGGGCTAATTTGGGCCTCCCAAATTAGCGTGAGCAACGTCATCAGTCCTGGACAAATCCTTGGGAGGACAGGAAGTGACCCTAGTCCTAGCTCCTGCTTAGGAATCCATTGGACCTGGGAGCCTTTCTTCTCTCAGGTCCCTAGTGGCCTCTTCCCAGTCCTGGGGACACTGGCAAGGAGGCCATGTGCTCAAGTCTGCCTAACTCTGCAGCCATCTTGGCTTGCATCACATGAGGTAAAGTCTTTGATTCAAAGCCAAATGAGAAGATGAAAAATAAAAACAAAACCCGGTTCTACAGCCCCCCAACAACCTGTACTCTGCTGCTCTTAGGACACACCTCCGGGCGCTCCCTGTTGAGACTTGTCCACCCTGGACTCCCTCTCCTCCCTTTACCCCATTAGCAGACAGACCTGGCACCAGGTGCCCTGTCCTCATGAGAGCCTCGGAGCAGGGGTGGCCCATACCCATACCCAAGCACCATCTCGTGGGAGAGACCTCCTAGAGGCAGAGACCCAGGATATACAGCAAACCTCACTTCCAGGTCAGGAAACCGGGTTTCCCTTCCCAACCCTGTCATCCTTCCTAGCCCTGTCACAGGCGATCCACGCTCCGCCCCCCCCCCCCGACAAGTGTCTTTCCCCTCCCCAAGCTTCTGGTTTTCCCATCTATAAAATGGGCTGGCAGTCAGTCACCTGCCCTTGGACGCTTGGTGTTACGGTGAGAAGCCGTAGTCTGGAAAGATCACATCACCAGTCCAGGCTGCTAATAAAGGCCCTACCCTGTGGTGACGCCTCTGTTCAAACCCTGACTGGGCATGAAGCCTCGCCGTGCCTCCGTTTCTCCCTCTGGAAAGTGGGCGTGATCATGTGCGTGCTGATCTCAGAGCAGCTTGGAGGATGAGATGTGGGAGGGGACCATAAGAGCCCACACTTCATAGGTTGTCCTGAGGGCAGAGGGCGGGGTCCCGGGTGAAAAGATCCCCGGGAGACTCAGCTGCATGACCTCCGGCTTAGCATCTTGCCCTGCTCACCTTCTTCCCAGTGTCTGGTTAAGTGTGCTTGGGCAAGACTATCCAGTCCTGGCCCGGGCAAGGGTGGTGGTGAAGGGCACGGGCTGTGCCCACCCCTCCCAGGCTACAGGGAGCTTGGCTCTTCTACTATTGCCAAGCCCACCATGGACACCCACCTGGAGGTCCTGGGTAGCCCAGGGTAGAGGAGGCTCTGCAGCCCATTGGGGCACCTGCGTGAAGTGGGGCTGGGCCTCTGGGGCAGGGCAGGTGCTGACTCATGGCCTCGCCTGGCACACTATAAAGGAACCAGCCCAGGGGCCTCCTGCTGCCTGCTGACCTAGGATGGCCCAGGGCGCGGTGATCCATGTGGCCCCTGAGCAGCCCACCCATGCTGTATGTGTGGTGGGCACCGCGACCCCGCTGGATGTCTTTGGGTGAGCCTGGGCGGGTGGGGCGGGGTGGGCAATGCCAGCAGGGGCAGGATGCTGCTGGCCCGGCTCAGGCTCTGGCCAAGAGATCCTAGGGAGATAAACTGGGAGGGGTGGGACCCACCACAGCCAGTTCTCTGTGAAGTAGAAATACCGCTGCTGCCAGGCCCTGCTGGAGGCTGACGGAAGGCAGGCTAGGTTTCCTTGCCTGGTGAAATGACTCTCAAGATTAAGTGTGACCATTGCAATTGTACTCCACGGGGCTGTCTGTTTGGTATTCCATAGTGCTGTTTGCTAGGTACTCCGCAGTGCTGTTTGCTAGGTACTCCGCAGTGCTGTTTGCTAGGTACTCCGCAGTGCTGTTTGCTGGGTACTCCACACAGTACCGGGCAGATCCCCAATTCATTTGTTCATTCTTCCACTCCCTTGTTCCTTCACCAAATATAGGCTGAGGACGTACTGGGCGCTGAGACCTTTGTCCTAGATCACACAGGACAGTGGAGGAAGCCTCTGTAGTTGCCTTTCATGTGGGGATTGCTGCAGCCTCCCCCATAGAGCTGAGGCCCCAGTGATGTCCATAAATGTCTCTGGGACACGTCCCTGTCAGAGGCTGACTGACCCCGGCAGGAGGAAAACACTCAGGGTCTAGGGGGTCCCCAGGCCACTAGTGGGAGGCTGGGGAGACAGGCAAAAGAAAGCCTGGTGTCTCTCCCAGAGGACAAGCTGCTTGAAGGTGGGTGCAGAGATGACAGGAGCCAGAGCTAGCCCATCATCCTTGCTAGGATCCCAGGCTAGCCCTCCTTAGGTCACGGTCATGGTGCTTCTTTCGTAGTGTCTGCGGGTATGTACGTGGTTGTAGATTCAGGTGTGCGGGGGAGCGTGTGGAGGCCAGGACAAACTCAGGTGTCATCCCTCAGGCTCTATCTTCAGAGGTCAGGGGACAACCTGTGGGAGTTGGTTCTCTCCTTCCACTGCGTGGGTTCTGGAAACGGAGCCCATCTCACAGGCCTAGCAGCAAGCGCCTTTACTCGCTGAACCACCCGGCTAGTCCTGATTGTGGTTTTCAGACGGGGAGATCAGAGCAATGACATATGATCAGACAGGGGTGTTGATGACAATGTGGATGTTTGTCTGTCCCCTGTGAAGAGCCAATACAGCTAGCGCAAAGGACCTGAGGCAGGGGCATGAGCAGTCAGTGGGGACAGGAATGGGAGGGGTGCCCTGGGCAGGGGCAGCATCCTATGAAGGTTGGGTGGGGCAGTGGAAGGACTTCTGCTCTTCTCAAGACCTGGTTTGCTGTGGACTGCCATGGAGGTGTGTTGGGCAATGGAATACCATGTGTGGCCTTGGTTAACCCAATCACTGATTGCCCTGTGAGAACGGACTACAGGGGACGAGGGAGGAGGCAGATGTCCAGGTCAAATTATGGAATAGCCATGGAGAATGAGGTGGTGGCTGGCCAGTGAGCCCCAGGGATCCATCTGTCTTTGCTTCCCAGCATGCTTATCTTTGTGTGTGTGTGTGTGTGTGTGTGTGTGTGTGTGTGTGTGTGTATGTGAGAGAGAGAGAGAGAGAGAGAGAGAGAGAGAGAGAGAG